GAAAGGTAAAAGTAGGAGGGTCACAAGCTTGTTGTATAATCATAAGGTAAAAGTAGGAGGGTCACAAGCTTGTTGTATAATCATAAGGTAAAGCAGGAGGTCACAAGCATGTTGTATAATCATAAGGTAAAGTAGGAGGGTCAAGCTTGTTGTATAATCATAAGGTAAAGCAGGAGGGTCACAAGCATGTTGTATAATCATAAGGTAAAGTAGGAAGGTCACAAGCTTGTTGTATAAACATAAAGTAAAGTAAGATGGTCACAAGCTTGTTGTATAATCATAAGGTAAAGTAGGAGGGTCACAAGCTTGTTGTATAATCATAAGGTAAAGTAGGAGGGTCACAAGCTTGTTGTATAATCATATGGTAACAGTAGGAGGGTCACAAGCTTGTTGTATAATCATAAGGTAAAGCAGGAGGATCACAAGCATGTTGTATAATCATAAGGTAAAGTAGGAGGGTCTCAAGCTTGTTGTATAATCATAAGGTAAAGTAGGAGGGTCACAAGCTTGTTGTATAATCATAAGGTAAAGCAGGAGGGTCACAAGCATGTTGTATAATCATAAGGTAAAGTAGGAAGGTCACAAGCTTGTTGTATAATAATAAGGTAAAGTAGGAAGGTCACAAGCTTGTTGTATAAACATAAAGTAAAGTAAGATGGTCACAAGCTTGTTGTATAATCATAAGGTAAAGTAGGAGGGTCACAAACTTGTTGTATAATCATAAGGTAATGTAGGAGGGTGAAAAGCTTGGTGTATACTCTTAAGGTAATGTGCGAGGGTACACATACCAACATACATATATTAGTGTCTGACTTCATATGTTCATTTATTGTAAATTCACTTACAGTAAACTACTTTTATTATTTTTGGGCCCAGGTATTTGTTGTCCATTTCAATCAAAATGAAATGAAGTACAATTTACCTGAGTAAAACTAGTGGTCCATTTGAATTAGTTCTAAATGTAACCATACTATACTGCATTTATTGGACAGTGAAACTTTCCTCATCACAAGGCCAGTGTGTCCATGGTTGTGTCCAACGTCTGTTATCTCAGCATGATATGAGCCCAGAGATAGGAGGCAATACAGCTGCCACTTGAGGGTGGAGCGAGGGAGGGAGACTTGGCACAACCTGATAACACATGGCCTTGCATGGACTCACATATCACAATTCATTGATGTCTCCAAGTCTCTAGACTTCTCAGACTCTGACAGTTGAACTAGAATTTATTGAAAAATGTTGATTTAATAGAGGCAGGCATCAAGGTACTGTGTGGAAGATATTGGGGAGGATATTGATATCTTAGGGGGAGTAGAGTGGTGAGGGAGCAAAAGAGAAGGTATTTCATGGAAGATATCTAGGTGATGTAGCTACGTGATGGGGGGTGGAGCGGTGAATTGGGATTGAAGTGAGGGTAGCTAGGTGAAGGAGGGATTGTAGTGAGGGTAGCTAGGTGAAGGAGGGATTGTATTGAGGGTAGCTAGGTGAAGGAGGGATTGTATTGAGTGTAGCAAGGTGAAGGAGGGATTGTATTGAGGGTAGCTAGGTGAAGGAGGGATTGTTTTGAGGGTATTTCATGGAAGATATCTAGGTGATGTAGCTACATTGATGGGGGTGGAGGCGGGTGGTGGGATTGTATTGAGGGTAGCTAGGTGAAGGAGGGATTGGAAGTGAGGGGTAGCTAGGTGAAGGGAGGGATTGTATTGAGGGTAGCTAGGTGAAGGAGGGATTGAAGTGAGGGTAGCTAGGTGAAGGAAGGATTGAAGTGAGGGTAGCTAGGCAAAGGAGGGATTGAAGTGAGGGTAGCTAGGTCAAGGAGGTATTGTATTGAGGGAAGCTAGGTGAAGGAGGGATTGTATTGAGGGTAGCTAGGTCAAGGAGGGATTGTATTGAGGGTAGCTAGGTTAAGGAGGGATTGGAGTGAAGGTAGCTAGGCAAAGGAGGGATTGAAGTGAGGGTAGCTAGGTAAAGGAGGGATTGTATTGAGGGTAGCTAGGTGAAGGAGGGATTGAAGTGAGGGTAGCAAGGTGAAGGAGGGATTGTTTTGAGGGTAGCTAGGTGAAGGAGGGATTGTATTGAGGGTAGCTAGGCAAAGGAGGGATTGGAGTGAAGGTAGCTAGGTAAAGGAGGGATTGTATTGAGGGTAGCTAGGTGAAGGAGGGATTGAAGTAAAGGGTAGCAAGGTGAAGGAGGGATTGTTTTGAGGGTAGCTAGGTGAAGGAGGGATTGTATTGAGGGTAGCTAGGCAAAGGAGGATTGTATTGAGTGTAGCTAGGTCAAGGAGGGATTGTATTGAGGGAAGCTAGGTGAAGGAGGGATTGTATTGAGGGTAGCTAAGTGAAGGAAGAATTGAAGTGAGGGTAGCTAGGCAAAAGAGGGATTGAAGTGAGGGTAGCAAGGTGAAGGAGGGATTGTATTGAGGGTAGCTTGGTGGAGGGATTGTAGTTAGGGTAGCTAGGTCAAGGAGGTATTGTATTGAGGGAAGCTAGGTGAAGGAGGGATTGTATTGAGGGTAGCTAGGTGAAGGAGGGATTGTATTGAGGGTAGCTAGGTCAAGGAGGGATTGAAGTGAAGGTAGCTAGGCAAAGGAGGGATTGAAGTGAGGGTAGCTAGGCAAAGGAGGGATTGTATTGAGGGTAGCTAAGTGAAGGAAGAATTGAAGTGAGGGTAGCTAGGCAAAGGATGGATTGAAGTGAGGGTAGCAAGGTGAAGGAGGGATTGTATCGAGGGAAGCTTGATGGAGGGATTGTAATTAGGGTAGCAAGGTAAAGGAGGGATTGTATTGAGGGTAGCTAGGTGAAGGAGGGATTGAAGTGAGGGTAGCAAGGTGAAGGAGGGATTGTTTTGAGGGTAGCTAGGTGAAGGAGGGATTGTATTGAGGGTAGCTAGGCAAAGGAGGGATTGTATTGAGTGTAGCTAGGTCAAGGAGGGATTGTATTGAGGGAAGCTAGGTGAAGGAGGGGTTGTATTGAGGGTAGCTAAGTGAAGGAAGAATTGAAGTGAGTGTAGCTAGGCAAAAGAGGGATTGAAGTGAGGGTAGCAAGGTGAAGGAGGGATTGTATTGAGGGTAGCTTGGTGGAGGGATTTTAGTGAGGGTAGCTAGGTGAAGGAGGGATTGAAGTGAAGGTAGCTTGGTGAAGGATGGATTGTATTGAGGGTAGCTAGGCAAAGGAGGGATTGTATTGAGTGTAGCTAGGTCAAGGAGGGATTGAAGTGAGGGTAGCTAGGTGAAGGATGGTTTGAAGTGAGGGTAGCTAGGTCAAGGAGGGATTGTAGTGAGGGTAGCTAGGTGACAGGGGGATTGAAGTGAGGGTAGCTAGGTGAAGGATGGTTTGAGGTGAGGGTAGCTAGGTGACAGGGGATTGTAGTGAGGGTAGCTAGGCAAAGGAGGGATTGTAGTGAGGGTAGCTAGGTGACAGGGGGATTGAAGTGAGGGTAGCTAGGTGAAGGATGGTTTGAAGTGAGGGTAGCTAGGTGAAGGGATGGTTTGAAGTGAGGGTAGCTAGGCAAAGGAGGGATTGAAGTGAGGGTAGCTAGGTGAAGGATGGTTTGAAGTGAGGGTAGCTAGGCAAAGGAGGGATTGTAGTGAGGGTGGCTAGGTGAAGGATGGTTTGAAGTGAGGGTAGCTAGGCAAAGGAGGGATTGTAGTGAGGGTAGCTAGGCAAAGGAGGGATTGTAGTGAGGGTAGCTAGGTGACAAGGGGATTGAAGTGAGGGTAGCTAGGTGAAGGAGGGATTGTATTGAGGGTAGCTAGGTGAAGGATGGTTTGAAGTGAGGGTAGCTAGGTCAAGGAGGGATTGTAGTGAGGGTAGCTAGGTGAAGGATGGTTTGAAGTGAGGGTAGCTAGGCAAAGGAGGGATTGTATTGAGGGTAGCTAGGTGAAGGATGGTTTGAAGTGAGGGTAGCTAGGTCAAGGAGGGATTGTATTGAGGGTAGCTAGGTGAAGGATGGTTTGAAGTGAGGGTAGCTAGGCAAAGGAGGGATTGTATTGAGGGTAGCTAGGTGAAGGGTGGTTTGAAGTAAGGGTAGCTAGGTCAAGGAGGGATTGTACTGAGGGTAGCTAGGTGAAGGATGGTTTGAAGTGAGGGTAGCTAGGCAAAGGAGGGATTGTATTGAGGGTAGCTAGGTGAAGGATGGTTTGAAGTGAGGGTAGCTAGGCAAAGGAAGGATTGTATTGAGGGTAGCTAGGTGACAGGGGGATTGAAGTGAGGGTAGCTAGGTGAAGGATGGTTTGAAGTGAGGATAGCTAGGCAAAGGAGGGATTGTAGTGAGGGTAGCTAGGTGAAGGAGGGATTGAAGTGAGGATAGCTAGGTGACGGAGGGATTGAAGTGAGGATAGCTAGGTGAAGGAGGGATTGTAGTGAGGATAACCAAATGAAGGAGGGATTGTATTGAATGAAAGAATAAATGAATGAATGAATGAATGAATGCTCTTTATTTCCCCAATGATTTGGAGAGTACATTATATTACTTGTCAGTCGCAGTGTTACACGTAGGTGTCACGTTTAGAGTATTGGTAAAGATAGTATAGTAGTCACAGGCAGCCATAGATGCAAAGGTAGATAACTGACCAAGGTAATTTTGACACCTGACAGTAAAGTCAGTCCAGCCAATATCCTGATTAAGACATTAGTGATCGTGATATATATATTTGTGAAATTAGACATAGGGACATGAGGGCTTAAACCCTTATATATATGGAACTTTGGGATACCGAATTAATATTTTCATTTCCCTGAAATTAGCAAGCAGGAAATACAGAAAGTGTGCTCTCTATATATCAGTACAAACAAGTATTATTTCTAAATATACACGTGAAACTTGTGAGAAACAAAAGTCTCCCACAAAACACCTCCAGCACATATCAAGATGGTCATTATAAGGTCTATTCAAAATGTCTGCTGCTTTATCCAAGTTGATGATCTACAAGTCTGTTAACTGCTGCCTTCTTGACCAAACATTACAGGAGTACATTGCAACAAATGTTCGCTATGTTTCAGTTCTTCCCGGTGGACTACGAGTGTATCTCCAGCTTGGTGACGTTTGAACATCTCATCTACCAGTGTCGGAACTGTCCCATCCTTCCCTCACCGGTGCCAGATTCCCAGTCCTCTCACTCCTGGTAGGCAAAATGGCCATTACCAATCATGACCAAAACTATTTTGAAATGCAATTGTTTTTGGTTGGTATGTTTTTACAAAAGAATAATTCTCTTCTTTTTGTTAATTACTTGGTAGTTTTGTTCAATTTATTTATCTCATTATTTTGATAATATGTTCTTATTCTTTTCTAAAGTTTATTCCCCAAAATGAAAGTTTTGAATTGTTCTTGTTGCTCCAATTACTTTATGTTATTTCAAGGTTTTGAAAAAAATTGTGATTTATTTTTTTCCATTACATTATGAAATTTTGACTGTATTCTCAAATTGTTAAGTTTGAGAAAATATACTTCAAATACTGAGAAAATAGTTTTTAAAACATTTGCAAAAAACAAAGTAATGAAACATAGCTAGACTCATTTAGTTACGGTTTCCTCTGGAACACAGTCCACCAAGTCCACGGTTCCGTAAGCAGTATGTGCGAGACGACAGCCGTAGACTGGAGACATCCATCTTCAACATCCCCTTTCCCTTCGACCTGCTGGCCCTCCTTCCCAAGTCTCAACAGGCAGAGCTCCTCTTCTCTACATTCATACCTCCAAGTGAGTAACAGGTGTATACAGGTGCTTATATGATGTGTCCAGGTGAGTTACAAGTGTATACATAATACCTCAAGGTGAGTTACAGGTGTATACAGGTGCATACATAATACCTCTGGGTGAGTTACAGGTGTATACAGGTGCATATATGACGCTTTCAGGTAACTTACAGGTGTATACATAATACCTCAAGGTGAGTTACAGGTGTATACATAATACCTCTGGGTGAGTAACAGGTGTATACAGGTGCATATATGATGCTTCCAGGTAACTTACAGGTGTATACAGGTGCATACATGACACCTCCAGGTGAGTTACAGGTGTATACATAATACCTCATGGTGAGACATAGGTGTATAAAGGTGCATACATGACACCTCTGGGTGAGTTACAGGTGTATACATAATACCTCAAGGTGAGATACAGGTCCATACATAATACCTCTGGGTGAGTTACAGGTGTATTACATAATACTTCAAGGTGAGTTACAGGTGTATACAGGTGCATACATGACACCTCCAGGTGAGTTACAGGTGTATACATAATACCTCAAGGTGAGTTACAGGTGTATACAGGTGCATACATGATACCTCCAGGTGAGTTACAGGTGTATACAGGATGCCTTCAGGTGAGTTACAGGTGCATACATGATGCCTCAGTTGAATTGCAGGTGTATACAGGTGCATACATGAAGCCTCCAGGTGAGTTACAGGTGCATACATGATGCCTCCAGCTGAGTAATTAGTTGTATACAGGAGCATGCATAATACCTACAGGTGAGTTACAGATGTATGTATGATACCTCCAAGTGAGTTACAGGTGTATACATTCATGCCTTAAGAAGTACTAAGCAATTTAATTGGCCTCACTTTTTACAGAACAATAACTCTTTACTGGGCATGAAAGATTACATGAAAAAAAAGAGTTTTGTTTCACATTAGGAGCATATTACTGTTTATTCTTCACAACAGAGCATGTTGGGGTGTATTCTTCAGATTAAGAGCATATTAGCATATATTTACACTTAGAGTAAGGAAATGTCATTCAGTGATTGTGTTGTTCTTGCTTTCCAGCAAAGATAACCTACAATGCCGAGGAAGTTCCCATTGATCCCAAAGGCTCCAACAACCAACTGTTTGCCATCCTGTTTGAGAGTCTGAAAGGAACAGGGCTTCTTAGTAAGGAGAATGTCCATGACAAAGAAATCCCACTCACATCTGAAGACTGTGCTGGGTTTCTGAACCTTCTGAAGTCCAGGAAGAGAGATCCTAGCAAAAATCCCCTCCCTTTTAACTTCATCAACAGCAGCCATGAAGCAACACCCACACCAGAAGACAAAACCACAGCGGATGGCAAAACTTCAGACCCCAAAGCTACAAAGGATGCAGAAAAGGTTAATAAGGAAAGCAAAGTTCTTGGAACTCCAAAACTGAAGGATTCCAAACTAGGCAACTTTGAAATAAACTCCCCATTTTCCAATTCTCCTTTGAACAAGAGCTATGGCACTCCCATTAAACCTTTGGAGAAACAGCCATCGGATGAAGAGGCTGCTTGCCCGATGTGGAGATGCTTTGCTTCTGCAAAGACGGACACTCACATGTTCCTCACATTTGTTCCAGCAAGCTTTGATGATCTCCTTCTGCTCAACAATATTACAGAGTTTGGTAAGGATGAAGCTGAAGAGTCTGGGAATAAAGAAGAAACAGCTGAACAGGATGATCAAATTCCTGAGGAGACTCAACCCTCTTCTTTATCCAAACCTGTGACAAATTCTGATGTGGAGCAAGATTTGAGAGATGTTGAGGATGAGGCATCAGTTGATCCTGAACTGGAAGATGAAGGTCATACTGTCATTATGGAAGGAGTTGAAGATTCTGAAATGCAGAAGGGATCTGCTGAAGTTACAGGCGAAGTTCCTGAAGGTGGTGAAGTTCTGGAAGACAAACCATCTCAACCACATCCTCTGTTACTGCCAATATATGTGTATGATTGCTACCAGCATAATGTCGTGGACTCGCTGGTCAACAGATGGGACTTCACGCAATATGAGGACATCTATGAGGACATGTCTTTCGACATGGCTGACCTGGACAATACTCAGTTATATGGCAAAATGACAGCAAGTCCTCGAGGTCGCTTACTGTCTTGTGACAATGAGGACAGTGTAAACGAAGAAGAGAGTGACATTCACAGATTGAACTGGAGGTCATCCATAGACCGCAGATCTAATGATAGCATCTGTGAAGGAGGGACTTCAGCCTTCAGGCAGCATTGTGTGGTCATCTCTGAGACGTACCTCAGATGCTTTGTTACTGGTGAGTTTGTTGTCAGCAACTCTATTTTGTCTTTCTTCAACAAGTTTTTGATAAAATAGACGAGAGCTCAGTCTAAAATTGTAACATTGGGTAGCTTTTCCACATATTTAAGGGAAACCTGTTCAAAATGTAACTCACAAACAAAACTGTGTTGCACTTTAAAGACAAAACGGTCCTTCCTTTATCAACAAAGATGATTCCGTCTTCATGATCTTTGAGGTTTTGCGATAAAATGTTGTGAGGAGCATAAAATGTATAGCTATTGGAAAATCAGGATGGCAGCTTTTTAGCATTCTTGTCATGAAAGATATTTGTAAGTAACTTCTAACCTCATCATCCACCTTGCACAGGTGTGTTTAAGAGTCTACAGCAGGGCTTCTACGTTGATCAGCGGGATGTCAATGCAGCCATCAACAACATCTGTGAGGAGTCGTGTCCCCTGGAGACCGACATGACCTACTTTCTCCAGGCATCCTGTGGTCACTTTCAGCACATCGCGGACAAAGCCCGGAAGGAGAGCGGCACCACCAAAGAGGCAGTCAAACACCCTCGGAAACTGTCTGTTAGGTTCATGGACGTGGTGGAAGACACTGACAGGTGAGGTTTTGCATCTGAGATTTCAGGATTATATGTGAGTAATTAATATCTTGTATATTGGAAAGGCTGTGAGAAACGTTCTGTGTTTGTTATTCTTTGTTATTAACTTCCTAGTTTTAGGGCATATTGACACGTGTTGGAAAATGTCCGGGAATATAGATCCTTGTTGCAAGTTGATGAGGACAAAAATGAACTGCCACAGTGCTGACCTTTCCTGAAATGTTGATATGTTGTTTTTTAAATTGTTACGTTGATTGTTCTTTAATGTATGTTTTAAGAAAGAGAATTTGAGATTTTCTCAGTTTGCAAAAATATGAAGTAAACTCATAAGCATAGCACTGTTTTGGCAAGGAAAATTTACTCTTGTTAAACTCAGGACAAACTTCACAGTAATTGTACTTATACTAAAACAGCATTCTTTTACTGTGCAAAACAAAAAACATTTGTTTACATCAGGTTGTATATGACCTGTACATTGATATGAAACATTCCTTCACCATTTTTCAACCGTAGAGTAAGGTTTGTTCAAAATGGCTCCCCTAAGCTCTTACCTTTGTAAACCTAAAGTGTTGTTCTACAAGTTGACCGTCTGTGCTTCCAGTGATGTGGAAGTCCTGGACTCCAGGATTCCGGCCGTGCTGCAGCTGCCCAAAGTGTCCACCACGCTGACCATTCCACTGAAGGGGGCTTGTCCTTGTGATATGGTTGATGGTCTGCGTGAACTAGTGCGTTCCAAGTTCCTGGGTATTGTACAGAAGTGGTTCCGTCCAGTCCCGACCCACCCTGACTTCTACTTCTACTGCTCGGACAGCATGTTGCAGGATGTCTCAGTGAGTGACCCGTCTGACTGGTGCCCAGTGCTTGTCCATCCATATGTGCTGTTGGGCACATTAGCTCCTTAGTACCCTATCCTCAATGGCTTGTGAATGCTGCTAAAGCTAGTGCATTCATGATGCATTGTACTGAGAATAAGTAAATAGACTGGTACAATTCAGTAGTATTTTCCATTGGGGTATGGAAATATTTTGGAAAATATTTTTTCTTTTTTGTATTTTTCACACAATTATATTTGCTGCGAGTAGTTTTCTAAGATTTACCATCAGATGGTAAGCTTGATGTGTTTAACTGGTATAGAGTATATCCTCTCTATGATTTACCATCAGATGGTAAACTTGATGTGTTTTATTGATATAGAGTGTATCCTCTCTAAGACTAACCATTTGATGGTAAGCTTGATGTGTTTGATGAATAGACAGTGCATCCTCTCTATGATTTACCATCTGATGGTGATGTTGATGTTTGACAAAGATGGAGTGTATCCTTTCTATGATTTACCATCAGATGGTAAGCTTGATGTGTTCGACTGAGATGGAGTGTATCCTCTCTAAGACTTACCATCTGATGGTGATGTTGATGTGTTTGACTGAGATGGAGTGTATCATCTCTAAGATTTACCATCTGATGGTGATGTTGATGTGTTTGACTGAGATGGAGTGTATTCTCTCTAAGACTTACCATCTGATGGTGATGTTGATGTGTTTGACTGAGATGGAGTGTATCATCTCTAAGATTTACCATCTGATGGAGATGTTGATGTGTTTGACTGAGATGGAGTGTATCATCTCTAAGATTTACCATCTGATGGTGATGTTGATGTGTTTGACTGAGATGGAGTGTATCATCTCTAAGATTTACCATCTGATGGAGATGGATGACTGTTACAGCTGGAGGAGAGTCAGGAGGATGGGGAACTGTCTGACAGCCAACATGGTGACAACACAGGTGGGGCACCAGCATGTACTTTGGAGACAATTTTGTAATGTTGCAACCACTAGTTTAAATTGTTTACAGATTTATCACAGCCACAATTCGAAAGTATAACGAAACATCTTTCTTTACTGCAATAAATCTGTGAATCTTACAAAACCAACTCTTTACTGCTTAATGTTTTGTTTTGCTAAACACCTATGAACAGCATGAAATCTCCTCTGAAAGAAGTGCATCTGAGTACCATGATGCTGTTAGCACTTTAAACACCACTCTTTAAAAGAATTGGCATTTATTTTACACAATAAGACAATGGTTCCAAACAGCATTATGTCAAATATAATAGAAAGATATTTTGATTTTTCAATCTTATATGAACAATAATATTTGATCTATTCAAATTTCACTGCAAAAAAAGTCTGTAAGTTGTAAAATTATTTCTATAGAATGTCTGTTATTAAGAAATAAGAAATGTTTTTAAACCAGACACGAGTCAGACGGAGCACACAGACGATGAATACATTGAAATCCGTTCAGAAGAAAAGATGTTGCGAAATGGTCACATTCAGGAGGACAGATTGTCGGTTTTGTCCAGCATGGGGTCCACTCACTCGTCTGAGTCAGAGCTTGACCTTGACCTCACCACGGAGCAGAAGGAGGAAGAGGAAGAGCCACTCTTCATCCACTTCACCTGCTCCATGAAGAATGCCGGCAGCTCACACTTTGTCTCCATCAGGTCACTGCCACAATGTCTGGGTATGCATCAGATGATCACTCTCCACTTTTTAGCTTTTGGTAGCTTTTTAAAAAAAAATGTTGAATCGTCAATGTTGGACAACGTTAACTGTCCTCAGAATATGTCACATTGTATAAATTTTGGGAGAACTAAAACTAAATGTTTGCCATAAACACTGTAAGTCTTAAGAAATTTGCTAACTCAAAAACCGTTCAATATTTTTCAACAAAACTTGGTAGATATATCAAACAGAACCTTAAGTGGTGCCTTTTGCTATTTGCAGATTTTTGGCATTTTTATTTTTTTTTGGTTTCCTTGACAACGATTCGGACTTAGTCCCAAAAGGGAGGGGTGGGCTTCATTTCCGAGGCACAACTCAAGAACCATTCAATATTTTTCAACAAAACTTGCTAGATATATCAAACAGAACCTTAAGTGGTGCCTTTTGCTATTTGCAGATTTTTGGCTTATTTATTTTTCCCGGTTTTCATGGAAACGATTCGGACTTAGTCCCAAAAGGGAGGGGTGGGCTTCGTTTCCTGAGCACAACTCGAAAACTTCTAAATATCTTTCAGCAAAACTTGGCAGATATGTGAGGCAGATGCCAAAGTGGTGCCTTTTGCTATTTGCAGATTTGTGTGATTTATTATTTTCTCGGTTTCCATGGAAACGATTCGGACTTAGTCTCAAAAGGGAGGGGTGGGCTTCATTTCTGGTGCACAACTCGAAAAGCGTTCAGTATCTTTCAGCAGAACTTGGCAGATATATCAGGCAAATTTTAAAATGGTGCCTTTTGCTATTTACAGATTTTTGGCATTTATATTTCTCATGATTTCCATGGAAATGATTTGGACTTAGTTTAAAAAAGTCAAGCTAGACTTTAAGTAACTGTCAGATGATTTGTTCTTTCAAATATGTAGGGGCCGGGGGGATATGTCATCTTCTGATGACTCATGTTTGTTTTTTATGGCAACAATTTGGACTTTTCTTTTTTTGAAGGGTAAAGTTTGTTTCCGGAGCATAATTCTGAAACTAATTGACCCATCTTCAACAAATCATTTGCTAAACTGCCCCTCCATATCATGTAGATGTGCCTTTTGGTTTGAAGTTTTCATTCAATTTTATTTTTTTCTGTTTCAATTATTTTTTTCTGTTGAGGTCTCAACGTTGAATTGGGGAAAGGGGAGACATCTGTTTTTATGAGTAAAAACACTTTCTAGTTTTCTAAAGGTTTTCCTCATTCTATAACAAACACACAGGTCCAATGATCCAAACACACAGGACCAATAAAATGTCCTTTATGATGGAGGTATATGTTTGATAATAGTGGGGGAATTTTGACAGTTACAGTTAGTAAGACTTGCTACTGTTAATAAACTTTCTTATAGTCACAGCTTGCAATTTTGCTTCAATATTATTCTGAATACCTTCACTGCAACAACATAGATATCAGACATTGAATGATTTAATATCAAGAATACCATGTCCACCATTTTTTAATTTTCATAGAACTATGTTGCTAGTGAAGTTGGAGATTCATGGGAGACAACTCTGATTGGGTAATGTGCTGTTTTTATATTCACGCAATGACACCTTCATTCCTCAGTTGACATTTGGACAAAAATTGAAGAGGAAGTCAGCATCCTTGACCTTGAAAATATGAGGTTCACCTTTGACATCAACTGCATGACGCTGCCCAATGAGCTGGATGTCCCGCTGATTGGCAAGCCGTCATACATTCGGATGTTGTCGGGATCAAGCATTACTCCTTCATCGCCCCACAACGAAAGTGACCAAGAGGACACTGCCTTCTCTATCATCTCCTCAGATGGGTAAGCGAGACAGTTCAAGGTCGTTCTTGATAGTCTGGGAAGAAGGTTTCTTGGGTGTCCATATTTCTTGATTTTGATAACCACCACAAGGATAAGTTCGACATTCTGACTGACCAACAGGGCAGTGTATTTTGTCAGACACAATATTTTTGGATGCTGATGTTATTGATAAATGCACCCATAAAGATCCGGGTTAGAGTTGATCTTCAGCAACACATGCTTGTCGTAACTGGCAACTAACAGGATTGGGTGGTCAGGCTCATTGACTTGGTTGACACATGTCATCGTATCCCAGTTGCGTAGATTGATGCTCATGCTGTTGATCACTGGATTGTCTGATCCAGACTCGATTATTTACAGACCGCCACCATAAAGCTGGAATATTGCTGAGTGTGGCATAAAACTAAACTCACTCACTCACTATGGATGAATGCTCAAACTGTTGGTTCATTGTTTGTAGTAGATATTGTAATATTCCTCTCTGCTGTCTGACCCGTGAAGGTCCGGGTTAGAATATTGATCTTCAGTAACCCATGCTTGTCGAAGAGACGACTAACGGGATCGGGTGGTCAGACTCGCTGACTTGACATGTCATCGGTTCCCAATTGCTCAGATCAATGCACATGCTGTTAATCACTGGACTGTCTGGTCCAGACTCGATTATTTACAGACCGCCGCCATATAGCTGGAATATTGCTAAGTGCGGCCTAAAACTAAACTCACTCACTCACTCACTCACTCACTCACTCACTCACTCACTCACTCACTCACTCACTCACTCACTCACTCACTCACTCACTCACTCACTCACTCACTCACTCACTCACTCACTCACTCACCTGTCTAATAATGTTTACAAGTTTGCTGTTGCTGTTCTATGCATACACAGATTAAATGTATAGATGAAATATTTTCATATGAGAATATGCTTTGGAAAAAACAAACTATGGAAAAGATACACCCGATCTTGCAGCTCAGTCCTTGTTTTGTTATATGGCAACCCAGTTCAGATGATCAAGATGGTGAAACAAACTCCCTCGCTTGTAGTACATTACCTAAACTAAACAGGAATGCATGTCTGATATAGTTATTTAACTTCAGCTTCAGCAAGCCACTGATGGGAGATCCTATTGGCCACCTGCCCAAGGTCCAACATGGAGCTGTCCTTAAGTGTAAGGAAGAGGTAAGGTTCTGAGTCTACCGTTTGTCTAGTGTCAGTTCATTAACTTATCTTCATCATATCCCATCTGTGTAGCTAGATTGTGATGATGTCAGCCAATCCCCATGTCGGCTTAACTGGAATATTACCGATCAGGGATGGATCCAGAGGGGGTTGCGGGGGATGTGCACCCACCCCCCCTTCTCCCCCTCAAAAATGTTCCCTGAGGAACATTTCCCCTTAACCTATGGACTTCATGATTTATGTGCACCCCCTCTTGTCCAAAATCCTGGAACCGCCCCGGCTGATTGCGACGAAACTAACAGTGTCAGGATGAGTTGTGAACAACTCTGTGCTTCAGATCGAGTGGCTGCTGTCAGATGAGATCACATCGTCTCTACGGAACCTGCAGCCCATCAGCGCTGATGCTCTCAAGTTTGTGACGGAGCACATCAAGTCGTCAGTACAGGCGGGGGAAGCCAGCCTGTGTTCATGACAGAGTCGAACTTATGTTTGTCTACGGAGCCGACCAGAGCCTTGGCAGGTTCACAGAGGTCAGTAATTAAACCTTTGTAATGAATAATACTTCTTTAGAGGACCAGTTTTGGGTTGTTTAGGGCTTAATGTTTTCATACATCATGGAACCATTGAGTGAGTGAGTATAGTTTTTCACCGCTTTTAGCAATATTCCAGCAATATCACGGCAGGGGACACCAGAAATGGGCTTCACACATTGTGCTGATGTGGGGAATTGAACCCGAGCCTTCTGCATGACAAGCAAATGTTTTAGTCACTAGGCCCTGGAACTATTGATCAGGATGGGGTTGAGACGTGCGTTTAGCTGTGTCACTGAGGAAGTGAATATTTATAGAAAACTTCTTCCTCTAACATTAAGCTCTTGAAATAGTGATATATGCTTTAGAAAGGTATACTCTGAAGATTTGAGTTTACTACCCTATTAAATAATTGTGTGGCAGTACATTTGTGCAGACAATACAACCAGAATCTAGGAAGACCATGTGTTTAAAATGTTTAAACATAGAAATTGTATTTGTGTATTCCATTGGGTACATTTGGGTGCATTGAAGTCTCCTGGGGTACATGTATATAGTATCCTACACACCAATGACTGCTTCATCATACGAGGGGCGTTCATTAAAGATTTCCCCTGACCCACTTGTGGCTGAAACTTCATGTGAGTAATGACACATATGTCTATGGGTCATGTGGAAATTTTCAGCATTGAACTATTAAAGCTATTTCATTGACAAGCGTTACATTGAAGTAAGGTGTGACAATGGAGCCAGTTGAGGGCTGAGCAGTGATCAAGTTTTTGTACTTGAAAGGTCACACACCAAAAGAGACCTTTGAAGAAATGAAAGCAACCTATGGGGAGGATGCCCCATCGTATGACGTAGTTAAACACTGGCATCACCAGTTGAAATGTGGTCGGAAATCTGTGGAAACTGCTCCACTCCTGGTCGACCTCTTTCAGCCATTGATGAAGACACTGTCAGTAAAGTGGAGACTGCCATTTTGAAGATTGCCGTATAACTGTTCGCCAGTTAGCACATTATGTCAAGTTCTGTGTAGGGTCTGTGGAAAAAATCATTCATGACAATTTGCACATGCATAAGGTGTCTGCATGATGGATTCCCTGGCTGCTCACAATTTTCAGAAGCAAGAACAAGTCAGTTGCTCAAAGGCTCTTTTGGACATGTACCAAAAAACACAGACAAACTTTTTCGACAGACTTATCACACACCATGCACCATCTAACTTCCATATCTTTCCAACTATGAAGTCATTTTTGAAAGTAACACGCTTCCCAGATGATGAAACACTGATTTCGGAAGTCACGTCATGGTTTGATACGCAACCTACTGACGTTTTCAAGCAAGGTCTTTATAGTTGCATAAAGCGATGGGAGAAGTGTGTAACTCTTGGTGGTTGCTATGAAGAGAAGGACTAATAACTGTGCCAAGTTTCGTTCCACTAAGTCCACTGCAAGGGCGTCAGGGGAAATCTTTAATGAACGCCCCTTGTACATAGGTGCATATGGCTACCAAGCATGAAAGATATCCATGTATATTTCTAATCATTATAATTTGAATGGCACATTTTGTTGTTTAGGAGTTTGAGAGGATGCACTTACCAGGTTATCACTGGACGAAGGAGGGAGACTATTACTTTGTCATCATCGACCGAGCACGTGCCATTCAGCTTCGGCAGCATGCCCGCGATCTCAAGTCTGCCCTGGCAGAACTGGAGTCTGGAGACATCCCCCCAGGGTGGAAGGACCCCACCTGCCGACTGTTTCCGGCCATCGAGGAGAGAAGCAACAGTCTTCCCAGCGTCCTGCATCCAGTTGACCAGTTGACCGCCAAGTGTGTTGACTCGCCTGATCCCATCACTCCTGAGATAGAAGATTTCAGGCAGAGAAGCTTTTCAGATGCCTAAGTTCATGGCTAGGCCAGTCGGAAATGACATGGGTTCTGATTCTGTTGATGCCAAGTTGTCGAAACCTGATGAGCCTACTCTCCCAGCAATGGTTCCAACATCTCATATATTGGATGTCCCCAAAATTGACAGAGAGCCTGTGGAGAGTGGAGAAGGATCATTGAAGAAGTCTTCCAGTTTTGCTGGATTTCAGGCAGAAACACAGCATGAAGAGATTCAGCAGACGACAGGGGGTGGTTCAACGGCTCGCCCCACCTTGCCACACGTTCGAGGTCGACACTACTCGGCTCCATCAGGGCAGGGGACTCCACACAGCAGGTCGTCAACTCTGCCGCACACACCCTCACTGTTCTCTTCCAGGGGAAGCTACACTGAAGATGGTAAGGCTCACCATCAGATTTGACCACAGAGGCTTGTATTGCTGAAAATAATACGTCCTTGTTCACTAATATCCATATACATATAAAGAAGGATATGGATATCAGTGAACGAATACAATACAAGCCCCTGTGGATTTGACACAGATGGAATGTAAGGATTCTATTCAAACCTTATATCAGTAGAATGTAACATGCATTAAAGTCTGTCTGTATCCAAATGCTTCACATTGAATGAAATCATACACCTTCAAAATGAACTGTTTCACGTCAGCTGAGTAGAACATCGTGCCTACTGTTGTTCCCCCTCTGTGCCTGTTTGTGCTGTTCCTCCTTCTGTTGTTTCCCCCTCTGTGCCTGTTTGTGCTGTTCCTCCTTCTGTTGTTTCCCCCTCTGTGCCTGTTTGTGCTGTTCCTCCTTCTGTTGTTTCCCCCTTTGTGCCTGTTTGTGCTGTTCCTCCTACTGTTGTTTCCCCCTCTGTGCCTGTTTGTGCTGTTCCTCCTTCTGTTGTTTCCCCCTCTGTGCCTGTTTGTGCTGTTCCTCCTTCCTGTTGTTCCCCCTCTGTGCCTGTTTGTGCTGTTCCTCCTTCTGTTGTTTCCCCTCTGTGCCTGTTTGTGCTGTTCCTCCTTCTGTTGTTTCCCCCCTCTGTGCCTGTTTGTGCTGTTCCTCCCTCCTGTTGTTTCCCCCTCTGTGCCTGTTTGTGCTGTTCCTCCTGTTGTTTCCCCCTCTGTGCCTGTTTGTGCTGTTCCTCCTACTGTTGTTTCCCCCTCTGTGCCTGTTTGTGCTGTTCCTCCTTCTGTTGTTTCCCCCTCTGTGCCTGTTTGTGCTGTTCCTCCTTCTGTTGTTTCCCCCTCTGTGCCTGTTTGTGCTGTTCCTCCTACTGTTGTTTCCCCCTCTGTGCCTGTTTGTGCTGTTCATCTTACTGTTGTTTCCCCTCCATTAAAGATGTCAACTTGCAGATAGTTTTCCAGTGGTTGGTATAATTTTAACACACAGCAGCAGATATTGTTGAGTACAGGATATTCATTGATGTTTTTAGTATTTACATTTATTAGACTTTTCCCAATTTTGAGTTGTTTTGCAATTTTTGTTCTCATTTGGATACAAGCAGATCGAAGGATGGGTGGTGTTTCTTATATCCCTGACCACTTACCAGGTTATCATGTATTATCCAGACTATCTGTAATTATTTGTTCCTGTAGGGTATGATGGGGACTCTAGTGATGGTGACCTTGATGACACAGCCTCCACCAGCGACAGCGTCCCGTCGTATCCCCGTCTGCCCAAGTTCTGGCTCATACTGCAGATCAGCAATGATCACACTGACATATTCTTCCATACCAGGTCAGATGAATGTCTTCTATAAATGACTTTTGGGCGATGTAATGTGTACTTACAACACACCTTTCAGTTTTGTCTCTTATAGGGCATCATATATTCATTGTAAACTTGGAAACTTTTCCATATCTCTGAAGAATTTCATCAACATCACCAAATCGGGCTCAATTCATCTTCATTTGTTATATCATTTTCACCTTCTTTTTTTTTTTTTCGGTTGGCAATGTTACTGCCATTGTATTTTTTGCAGTGTATGGGTGGGTAGATGTTGGTGTGGGAGGGAGGGGAAAGGGCAGGAGATTTTTTAGTCTCTCTCAAATTTATCAAATTCTATCATCAATAAAAAAATAGGAATGGTGTTGAGCATAGTCCGTATTTATTTTCTTCATAACCCAATAAAAAAAAAATAATGGGATACTGGTGTTAGAGTCGGTTCGTAAAAGATGCTCATTGTTAACTGGATTTCTGGTGTTATAGTGTGGATTGAATATTTTTAAAATTTCACTCAAAAGTTTTGTTAACCTTTGTTATGTGTGGATTGTTTTTATATTAGTACCATTTCTTTGTCTTTAATTTCTGGCATTTTTTAAACCATTCGCTGTAAATACAAGGATGTGTGTCTGATTGCCTACATGTTGATTGCCTGGCATGTTTGACAGTTGTGTGTTTTTGCTAAAATGTTTTTATTTATTTAAACTTGTTGTTGTGACATCAGGGAGACAGGACATGAAGAAGGGGAGGAGACTGTACACTACCAGTCCCTCCTGGAGCTGGTCAACAAGTCCATCAACAGGATCTCCAAGAAGGTCAACCAGGTCAGTGGCCTCACATGCAACCCAGTTCAGTATTCAGACATTTATCAGTCTAATCAGTCTAACTTTGTTACACTGCTATACTGAGTCTAACAAAACCTTATAGAAGGTCGCGTCAGCTAACCTTTTGGACTGACCAATTAGAACACAGCTTACCAATCGCGAAGTTAACATTCGCACATACCGTTTGAACCTTTACCTAAAATACTAGAACGATTCCGAATGCTATTTTCCGCATGATTGCTTCCGAATGCTACACGCAATGAGTAAACAGTCGCTGAAAATAGCGTTTTTGTCAATATTCGAGGATGTCATCTTGCGAAAATATAAACCAAATAGTAAGCATGTCATTAGAAACCCATAAGCGTATATACTGCAGGTCAAATATATGTGTTTTATGCAGATTTTCGTTTGTTGATAGATCAATGTCAGCGACCAGGAAAGAGAAAATTAAAAAAACGTTTTGTACATCCCGCCGAACCCTAACAAGTAGTCGTTGTCTGATTGGTTAAATCCGTTCGGCCGTCTCGCATTTCATTGGACGGTCATATGTCGCTCAAAGGTTAGCTGGCGCGACCTTCTACTAGGTTTTGTTAGACTCAGTATAGCAGTGTAACGAATAATACTGAGCCTAAGTTTACTTAGACTCAGACATATATATGATTATCTGAGGTACAGATGTGTTTGAGAGCATATTCTTTATGGGAAAGGGACTTATGTATATTGTACACCTCACCAGGGCCTTTTTCAAAACTTTGACTTAGAAAACTGTTGTCACAAATGAAAAAAACAGACAAGGATTAAGGAATAAAATGTTTGAGTTGTTGTCTTTTTCCTAATTCTTGGAAGTTTAATCTATTCATATTTTGGGCAGTAGGTAAGGGATATAAATAGTGTTGGGAATTGGTTAAAATCTCATAATTGATGATTGGTTCATTACAACCGATCAATCATCGAAAATAATTGGTTAGCATCATTTATGAAATTTGTTAATGCACATAAAAATAAGGTGAAAACAAGTAGTTCTTTTTGGATTTTTTGGCAAAATTTCACATCTTTAAAGGATGACTAGTATGTCAGTAACATAAATTTCTTGAAATCTTTAAGATAAATTCAATCGTGACTTGAAACGAGCTTGTAGTGCTTACGAAATGTAACAGACAAAACCAACCTGGTGAAAAATATTGTTAATGAAAACAAGTGTTCCAGAATTGTTTGTGTTCGATTATGAGAAATTGTGATCGATTGCTTGGTCGTTTAGTCACTACGACCAATCTTCGATTATTTCAATTAATCGGACCACCACTAGATATAAATCAGACAATGTCCCTTGTCAATCTGGTCTAATTGATGACAGAAAGGGTGAGATAGAGGTTATGTGTATCAATGTCCCTGTCTAGTCTGGTCCTTGTGTTGGCAGGATAGGGATGTAACTGTTACACATTACAGTATGCCTATTCAGTCTGGTCCAAGTGTTTGGAGGTCAAGGGACATAACTGTATTGGGTAATAGCATCCTGAGAAGGTTTGGCTATAAAAGGGATTTAACTGGTTCAAGTCACATTAAGTCTGGATGCCTGTTCTGGGTGTTGGCAGGACATGGGTTGCGTAATAGTAACATGTAACATATTGAGAGTAAGTCTCGTCAAAGGGAGGTAACTGTAATGAGTATCTGTGTATGCAGCACATTACAGCAAAGGGAGGTAACTTATTTTCAACTGTCCATCGGGATGGCTAGCTGTTAAATTAGACCGTCCGTCAGAAATCTATCCCGTCTCGGGGGGTCGGACGGGCCTTATTTCATACACTGGTAACTGTAATGAATATCTGTGTCTGCAGCAACATTACAGCAAAGGGAGGTAACTGTAATGAATATCTGTGTCTGCAGCAACATTACAGCAAAGGGAGGTAACTGTAATGAATATCTGTGTCTGCAGCAACATTACAGCAAAGGGAGGTAGCTGTAATGAATATCTGTGTCTGCAGCAACATTACAGCAAAGGGAAGTAACTGTAATGAATATCTGTGTCTGCAGCAACTGCTCCTGGAGGACCTGAATGACACCCACATGTGTAACAACCTGCTGGTCCCTGAAGCAGACGAAGACATCTCCTGGGCAGACAAGAGGACTCTATCAGGACGTTCAGCTCCAGACAGTGAGTACAGGTGTAGGAGTATGTCACCCAATGTTCAGCTCCCGAGAATGACAAATGTTGTTCATCATGCTGTGTACATGTATTGATAATGGAGTCAGAGCTTTCTATTTAATTTTGGTGGCATGGTTTCTGGGCTTGCAGTCTGAGTTATGACCCTTCGCCTTGCTGTGATCCCGTGATAGTGGCTTCATGTTAGCCGATTTTGATGAATTATTACCCATAGTATGATAGTACCATGCCATACTGTCAGACAACCTGATCTACCTTTCTCTGTTGCCTGTTTCTGTCCAGGTTCTGAGGTGGAGGAGGAGGAAGAAGGGGAAGATGGCAAGGGGAATAACTACCTGTTTGCTTCCCTCAAACTGAGGCCTGGCTTCTTCGCCTGCGACTGTGTGTGGACCAAGAACTTTGTGCTACACCCCAGACTGAAGACTGCCACAGGCAGAGGCAACGTCTCAAGAGGTATGCGCTCCATTTCTAGTCAGTATTTCAAGAGGTGTGCTTTGTCTAGTCAGTCAGTGTTTCAAGAGGTACGCTCTCCGTCTCTAGTCAGTCAGTGTCTCAACAGGTGCACTTTCTCTAGTCAGTGTCTCTAAAGGTAACAGTACAAATATTTAAAATATATGTTGCAGGACATTTTTGGCAGAGGACAAAGTAGAACTAGCAACATGTTTAGCTCCATTTACTCTGAGAATAAAGGGCATCAGGGCTTGATGATACTCAAGTCAGCCCGGTCAAACTTTGTAATGCACAATCCTCGTGAATGGGCTCTTACAACAGGCATGACTTACAGGGAACCTATTCTGCCTCTGAAGTCCTTTTATGGTTGCATCTAAGATGTACAATCCCCCTGAATGATTCCTTTTGGCAATAATATCATGATCAATAATTCATTTTCAAGGATTCCTGGCTCTTCGCAGTGTGCTGAATAAGTTTTCTGTGAACAACCGACGGAATATGTTTGTGATCAGAGAGACAGAGTCAGCTTCACGCAGCGTGTTCTACCTCCGGTAAGAAGTAGTCCCTGTCATGTGACCTTCCATATCAGATGAAACTGGTAGTGATCAGTCCAGCATTCTAAACGATGATCTTGTGGAGAGCATATGCATGTACAGCAGAAGAACATTACCCTATATATAACAAAGAAAATATGCTCTATTCACAAAGCGTTAATGTAAACATTTGTTAGTTTAGAGAGTGTCTGTTGTAAGTTGTAGCTGAACTGTCCAGATTATGAAGGCTCTTCTGTATGCTGCAGCAGTTACTTCAGATCACTTTCAACACAAAACTAGTAGGATGTTAAATTTTCCATTAAATTTTTACCATGCAGCTAAATACCGAAGTAAACAACCCTAAGTAAACAAATTATTGTATTCAGTATTCTCCAGAATATCTAATCACAGGCCCCTACCCCAGAATATCTAATGGTTGGTCCCTTATCATGTATAATGTGTTTTAATTACTCATGTAGTGGTAGTGATGGTGATGTATGGAATGATTGCTGTTTCTAAGTTTAGCTCTATGTTTATGTGCACTACAGATTGAAGGAAACAAGAGCCCCTGTAAACAGTGAGGATGTGTCTTCGCCTCTTGAGGGTAGGTTAGGGGACATAATTCACTGGCAAATTGTCTTTATATTTCAATGTTTGCAAATATGAATCTTTGTGCGTGATGATTGGCTAGTTGAAACAGCATTACATCATATTGCTTCATTGTTGAGAACAATACAAAATTATGTCATCCATTGTTTGTTATGTCATAAGCTGATGACGTCACATCACAATAACAAAAGGTTCACTTCAGTGAAGTTTCTCTGTAAGCTGGTTCCCGGGTCCCTTTGCGCGCGTTAACGTTCACCAAAGATAGGAGCTGGTATAGGCTGCCATTTAAAACGCTCTGCTTGTTTATTTGACGTCACATCTGGATTGGTCAAGCTGGACTCCGTCTGTATATTGAAGTAGGGATGCAAGATCTGGGAACCAGTTAATCCCCTGTATGCCCAATTTATTTTTCCAGCACACATTTTCATGAGGTTTGAAAAGTGAATGTTGTGCGAGAATGGCGTTCGCGTGGTCCTGGATCTACCTACAACTATATGAAATTACACAGAAATGTAGAATATTAAATTTCTAATCCGATGGCATAGTTTCAAGTGCAAATACTTCAAGGTTTGAAAGATAGAACTGCTAAATTTTGTACGAATTTTTGTTATGCGTTAAGAAACAGTAAATGTCTCCGCTTTTTATTGTGCACAGATAAAAGCACTGTGCGACAAATTTTTACATATGGCATGTTTATGGAAAGCGTGAGGAACAAAATACTGCCTGATATCTGACCGACATAAATATATATGAAGCGAGTTTGTGTGCTTATGTATAACATTATACGCTCAATCTTAAAAATGACTCGCAATAAATGTCGGAAATGGATTTTCCTGTGTGACGTCAAACCACGATAGAGAGGTCATACACATATAAAGATAAGGGGGCATAACTTCGCTGTACTTAACACTAGGTCATTGTAACTCAGATCATGTGGAGATACGTTGAAGTGGATATGGATGCTGTCGACGGTGAACTTTGTCAGACGCTTAGACTGCTCAGCCACCGTGGCTTCCACAAAAATGGAGATTAGTCTAGACTACCAGTTGTCCGAATTCCATTTTTGTGGAAGCCAAGGTGGCTGAGTGGTCTAGGCGTCTGACTTTGTGTGCTGGCGATTAGGTGCCTGACTCTGAGGTTGTAGGTTCGAATCCCGGATGGGTCTCAACAACAAACCCAAACCCCCCCCCCAAAAAAAAGTACTAGAATCTGTACTTTACAAAGAAAGTGTAATCCCAAATATAGCATACCGGTATGTTACATTTGACCACTTTCTAAATGGCATTGTGTATTTCATAGCTTTTGGACGTGGGAGCCGTGCCAATTAACACTTATCAGAGGGGTACACAAAGTCCGCAGTCCAGACTACCAGTTCTCCGACTTCCATTTTTTTGGAAGCCGCTGGTGGCTGAGCTGTCTAGGCGTCTGACTTTGTGTGCTGGTGATTAGGTGCCTGACTCTGAGGGTGTGGGTTCGAATCCCGGATGGGACTCAACCCATAAAAAGTACTAGAATCTGTACTTTACAAAGAAAGTGTAATCCCAAATATAACATATGTTACATTTGACCACTTTCTAAATGGCATTGTGTATTTCACTTGTGTAAAGGTTTAAAATATGGTGTACTACACTAAATGTGTCAATATCTTTTGTAAATATTATTCAAACAAACAAAAACTTTCAAAGACTAAACAACGCATACCCGATATCCACGTATGATATGATATTGAACAAGGCTAGATGTAGAAAATGAATTTAGTTTCATAAAAAAAAACATATCTGAACAACATGCAAAATATACATTATGACACTGAAAATGTAATCGTCAGGATAGGTGATTGTATTTACTTTTATTCAACTGACCTTCACTTCAAAGAAATTGCTAAATATGTACAACAATGTTGACGTATGACATCACTATACCAATGACCGAGGAAAGACGTACGCAGTTTGAAATATTTGCAATACGAGATTTAATTTGTATGCATGGCTCGACCGATGTCCATATGTATAAATAACCTACATATATATCTCGTTCATACATCAGAGATGTTTTATTCGCTCACAGTTTTCTCACAAGCTTATAATAAAAATCTTTGTCGCATAGGGAAATTAGGGTGTGCATTTAAAAATCCACGATCTGTTCACGCAAATAAAACGACTATTTACGTTTACTGTTATTGCTCGTGAATATTAACATCAAAGACATGAAATAACAGAGAGTAAGAATTGAAAAAGAGGTTTCCAAGAAATAAGAACAATTTAATTTTTCAAAGCCAGCACCTGCATGACAGCGATTTTTCAAAACTTTACAAAATGTGTTTTGGACGTCTTCCGAAGAGGGACAGCGCGGCCGGCTAAAAATAGCAACCAATGGAAAATTACATAACATTGTCAATGTCGTTTTTTTCGTAGGCATTCACAGCCATCGTCTCTTTGGCCTGTACTGGCTCATATATTGCGATATGCGAGACATGGCCCAGCTTAGTTTCTCTGTAGCATTGTCATTCTTCTGTAGTTTTTCATTTTCTTTTTTTAAAATGATGAGTAATATAAAGAAGAAGACTTGAAAAGTCTGAATTATGCATCTCTTTCCCTTGTGAGCAGTCTATTTACTTGGACTTGAACCAGTCATTTACATGAGAAACATAGTCTGTAATTCCTCATAGTTCTGTTCCCAAAATGATCACAAGTGTCATGTCAAACAAATATGACATTACTTGTAAGTAACGACATTTTCTTAACTGTTCTGCCTCCAGAGAGCTTCAGTAGAGGGATGATAGCCAGCCTCAAGAAGGAGAGTGACTATGTAAGTGCTTCTCTTTCTCTCAATCACATTTTCCACCAAAACTTCATCAATCTGCTGTTTTTAGTAGATACCGGAAGGGTTTTCGATGATTAAAGTTGCTGTTGAGAGTTATGCCCCTTAGTTTCACCAGCATCCACTAGCCATGGGACTGAAGCCAGGATTCACCAGTAATCATAATCCTACTTTGTCAGCACCATACTCAAGTATTTCAAGAAAGTGGCAATCAATAATGAGTTTTGCACTTTCAATGAAAATATTTAGAGCAATCAAAATTACAAATGTGCAGATGTTTTTGTCATTTCAGTCAACAGCTTGTCATCCTGCCACATGAATCCTTTGTTGCATTGAAGACTGCTGAAAAAATGAACACTGAACATGTTCCTATGTCTCCATCCTTTTGTTGCAGGACATGAGTGAGGCGGACACTGTGTCCATTGTGTCGGGAGTCAGCCGGATGTCTTCCAGGGAGGAGGATCTTGTACAGATCCAGGTGTATGGCATTGAGGAGATAGGTACTAGCATACACAGGTGTATGGCAGTGAGGAGATAGGTACTAGCATACACAGGTGTACGACACCGAGGAGATAGGTACTAGCAACACAGCTGTACTGCATTTGGGAACCGAGGAGATAGGGACTAACATACACAGCTGTACCTGACCACCTGATCTGATCAGCATTGAGGAGATAGGTACTAGCATACACAGGTGTATGGCATTGAGGAGATAGGTACTAGCATACACAGGTGTACAACATTGAGGAGATAGGTACTAACATACACAGGTGTACGACATTGAGGAGATAGGTACTAGCATACACAGGTGTACGACATTGAGGAGATAGGTACTAACATACACAGCTGTACTACATTGAGGAGATAGGTACTAACATACACAGGTGTATGGCATTGAGGAGATAGGTACTAGCATACACAGGTGTACAACATTGAGGAGATAGGTACTAACATACACAGGTGTACGGCATTGAGGAGATAGGTACTAGCATACACAGGTGTACAGCATTGAGGAGATAGGTACTAACATACACAGGTGTACACAGGGCATTGGGAGAGATAGGTGGTATTATATACACAGGTGTACAACATTGGGGAGATAGGTACTAACATACACAGGTGTACGGCATTGGGGAGATAGGTACTAGTATACACAGGTGTACAGCATTGAGGAGATAGGTACTAACATACACAGGTGTACAACATTGGGGAGATAGGTACTAGTATACACAGGTGTACAGCATTGGGGAGATAGGTACTAACATACACAGGTGTACAGCATTGAGGAGATAGGTACTAACATACACAGGTGTACAGCATTGAGGAGATAGGTACTAACATACACAGGTGTATGGCATTGAGGAGATAGGTACTAACATACACAGGTGTACGGCATTGGGGAGATAGGTACTAACATACACAGGTGTACGGCATTGGGGAGATAGGTACTAACATACACAGGTGTACGGCATTGGGGAGATAGGTACTAGCATACACAGGTGTACAGCATTGAGGAGATAGGTACTAACATACACAGGTGTACAACATTGGGAGATAGGTACTAGTATACACAGGTGTACAACATTGGGGAGATAGGTACTAACATACACAGGTGTACAACAACATTGAGGAGATAGGTACTAACACACACAGGTGGCACAGAGACACACACAACACTAGGGAGACACACACACACACACAGGTGTACATTGGGAGATACACACACACACACACACACAGCATTGAGAGATAGGCACACACATACACAGGCACCACACACACATTGACTGAGATAGACACACACACACACACACACACATTGAGGAGATAGGCACACATACACACACACACACAGACACAACACACACACACATACACACACATACACAGGTGTACAACATTGGGGAGATACACACACACAGGTGCACAACATTGAGGAGATACACACTACACACACACAGTACAGCATTGAGGACATAGGTACACACACACACAGGTGTACAGCATTGAGAGAGATACACACTACACATACACACACACGGCACACAGGAGACACACACACACACACACACACAGGCAGTGACACACACAGGTACAGACACACAGGTACAGCACTGAGACACACACACACACAGGCACAGCATTGAGGAGAGACAGTATACACAGGTGTACACACATTGAGGAGATAGTACACACATACACAGGTGGCACATTGAGACACACACACATACACACACACACACACAGATAGGTACTGAGATACACACACACAGTGAGACAGGAGATAGGTACTACATACACAGGTGCACAGCATTGAGGAGATAGGTACACATACACAGGTGTAATGGCATTGAGGAGATAGTACTACACATACACACATACGGCATTGAGGAGATAGGTACTAACATACACAGGTGGTGTACGGCATTGAGGAGATAGGTACTAACACACAGGTATAACATTGGGGAGATAGGTACTAACATACACAGGTGTACATGGCATTGAGGAGATAGGTACTAACATACACAGGTGTAAGGCATTGGGGAGATAGGTACTAACATACACAGGTGTAGGTGCGGCATTGGGAGATAGGTACTAACATACACAGGTACTAATGCGGCATTGGGGAGAGAGGACTAACATACAGGTGGACATTGGGGACACAGGTGTAACACACATAAATGGCATTGAGGAGATAGGTACTAACATACAGGTGTAATGGCAGAGATGAGGAGATAGGTACTAACACACAGGTTAATGCTGGCATTGAGGAGATAGGTACTAACATACACAGGTGTCTGGCATTGAGGGAGATAGGTACTAACATACACAGGTACACTGGGCATTGAGGGAGAGATAGGTACTAACATACACAGGTGTAATGGCATTGAGGAGATAGGTACTAGTATACACAGGTGTATGGCATTGAGGAGATAGGGTACTAACATACACAGGTGTGCGGCATTGGGGAGATAGGTACTAACATACACAGGTGTACACACATTGGGGAGATAGGTACTAACATACACACAGGTGTAGGCACGGCATTGGGGAGATAGGTACTAACATACACAGGTGTCTGGCATTGGGGAGATAGGTACTAACATACACAGGTGTAACAGGTGGCATTGGGGAGATAGGTACTAACATACACAGGTGTATGACATTGGGAGATAGGTACTAACATACACAGGTGTATGCGGCATTGGGGAGATAGGTACTAACATACACAGGTGTATGGCATTGAGGAGATAGGTACTAACATACACAGGTGTAACGGCATTGGGGAGATAGGTACTAACATACACAGGTGTATGGCATTGGGAGATAGGTACTAACATACACAGGGACATACAGGTACTAACATACACAGGTGTCTGCGGCATTGGGAGATAGGTACTAACATACACAGGTGTATGGCATTGGGGAGATAGGTACTAACATACACAGGTGTATGGCATTGGGGAGATAGGTACTAACATACACACACAGGTGAGATAACTAACATACACATTGGGGAGATAGGTACTAACATACACAGGTGTACGGAACATTGGGGAGATAGGTACTAACATACACAGGTGTACGGCATTGGGGAGATAGGTACTAACATACACAGGTGTACAACATTGGGGAGATAGGTACTAACATACACAGGTGTACGGCATTGGGGAGATAGGTACTAACATACACAGGTGTATGGCATTGGAGAGATAGGTACTAACATACACAGGTGTACAACATTGGGGAGATAGGTACTAACATACACAGGTGTACAACATTGGGGAGATCTAGGATACCAAGAAGCATGGTAATGAGGTGATAGCTACTATAAGATGTGTGGTATGTGTCTGTGTGTGCAGGTTCTGAGATTCGGGAGGAGCTGATGCGACTGCTGCAGAAGAAGCTGGATGAAGCTGTGCTTGAAGTAATATCAGTGATGCTTAACAGAAACCCCAAGTGTAAACTCAAGCCTGAGGATGTCCATGTATGTTAACAACTTCTGTTCTCTATCTCCATCTATCTGGTTGAAGTATTGTTGCATGATATTAATTGTCTGGTGACTGATGTGTTAACACACCGGCAATTCTTTTTCAGAGAGATCGTCCTTGGGGTACATATTATGCATTTTCCGGCTGAAAAATGTCCTGTGACAGTTGTATCAATGTTTTTTGAATAAAAAGATTGTACAATAAATAAACTCTTTTATTTATTATACGGACCCTACCTCACGGAGTTACCTCCCTTAGCGCATGCGCACCAACTGGGTAGGCTCCTAGACCCGTATCATCATTCCTTCTGCTGTCACGGCCGTGAACAGACGTGTTTGATAACCCATTCATGAGCCGTACGGCGCTGTTAAAAGATATGTCTGAGACACCACCTGTATGTATGGTCTTTATTTGTCTAAAACAAGAACAGTAAAGCTTTACAGTTGGTTGTTTCATAATTGTGACTTTGTATTAATACTAATCACATAAACTTTCCGTGGTTACGCGACGTGTTGCTCTGCCATGGCGGGAAGTTTAGCGTGCCATGTGGTCGTCGTAATATGGCGTATTAAAACCAACTATTACTTTCGTGGTAACCTTCACGTAGTTTTTCAATGTTTTCTACGTGTTTATATGCTGCTGGTCAGCCGTTCACTAACACGTTTTGCGTGTTTGTTTCAGGCCTTTCATGCTGTTCGGTCTGTGAGGGAGTATCCCCGGCCGACAGTCATACGAAGGCGCGTGGCCTGTCTGGAGAAGACAGGCCATGAGGCTGACTCCTGTCCTATTTGTCTGGCCTTTTCCCCGGGCCCAGAAGAGGCGGGCTGCCGACACCTTGTTCTATCGCGAAATGCGTGGAGGCGGAGGGGACCTGGCGCAGGTTCCCCGTCTAAGTCCAACGCGTGTGTCAAAAGGGAAAAATCCCGTGGCCCTTCCCCCTCTCCTGCCACTTCGAGTGGTTTTGACATGTCACTGATGGAGTCTATGTTTCAGCAGCAGATGGACTCGATGAAGTCCTTCGTTCGTGAGTCGGTTGGAGGTCTCCGGCAGGAGTTCCTCACCCACTCCGGACGGGGGGCGGAGAGTCCGGGGGTGGGATCGCCGGGCTCGGCTCGATCCCTCGGCCTTGAGGCGTCTGTAGATCCGTTGCCTCTGGCGGATCCGGGGCCTTCGGCTGCTCGAGAGGGAGGGGCTCCCAGTCCCCCTCTCGGAGCTCGAGCGAGGGCCGTTGAGTATTCCTGGTATTCCGGTCCTTGCGCACACCCGCCCCATGAGAGCGGAGGCACCAGTTCTGCCTGGCCTGCCTCCAGCGTCTCGGGACCGGGGTCCACGCCACGCCGGCTGGCGCTGACGTGGAGCAGTCTGTCTGTTCTTCCCTTCCTGTGGTTCCTAGCGTTAGGCAGTCCACCGGGTCGGGTTAGGGTCCCTTCACGGAGGAGACCCAGCCTCTGACTCGGGCTCCGGCGGCAGGCAATGGAGCTTGGGGAGGTCGAGGAGCATGACGGCGGCTTCCGTTTTGCTTCGCCTTGGCGGGAGGTCCGGCAGAGAATTGCCGAGGGCCTACCCCAGGCTCGCGGTGCCTGCTGGTAGCGTGGACTCGACTGAGTTCCGCTTGCCTGGCGAGGCGTTTGCCCCTAGGCAACCCTCACAGACGCAGCTCCGCATTCTGCCATCGTTGGTCTCCGGACGGGTCGTCGATCCCCTCTTGTCTGGTGCCCGAGTAAGGTTTGACTTACCTGAACTCGCTTGGCGCTACCAGCTTGGGGAGGATTCCCTGTTCGTTGTACCGCATTGTTGACGAATGTGTTTTCACTTCCACGCCCTGGGGAGGCTCGGCTTCCTCGAGCAGCTCCGGCTGCTCGGCAAAGGCGCCTAACTCCACCTTTGCCCTCGCTGGCGCTCCCCTGCGGCACGCGCATCGGACCTACGAGGAGGTCTACCGGACGCGATGCAGCAGGTGCGGTGGTGGTCCATGAGGCCTACCTCACCTCGGTTCAGAGGTCGGCCCTGGAGGCGGAGGGGCATGCTGGCGGCGATGTCGCCGCATGTCGTGCTGCTCCGCCAGCTTCCCGGAAGTGCAGGCTCACCCGCGGCGTGACTCTTTGCGGTCTGCTGCGTCCGACGGTGATGTGCGCAGTCATGGGGATGCGCCGGCTGTGGCTGTCGACGCCTAGGTACTTTCGGCAGCAACACAGCAGACCTTGCTGGCCCTCCCTTTCCGTCTGGGAGCGACCCTCTTTCCAGGGGCCCAGCAGGTCATACGGGAGGCTGCCGCTGCAGCTACCTCCTTCAAGGACTCTAAGGCCTTGTTGGAGCACCCGCGGGTGTCTCGCCCCCGCGCTCCCGTGCCACCTTCCTCCGCCGGGGTGCAGCCTACACCCGAGTCTGCCGGCTGGCTTCGGCCGCTTGGTAGGGGTAGGCGGAGGAACAGGTCCGCCAAGGGTAGGGGCAAGGAGCAGTCCTCGACTAGCTCCCAGCCTTTTCGCGGGCGCGGGAGGTCGGCCCCGACCTCCCGTTAACCCATCAGGCTGCCGCTCAAGCCGTGTGTCACGCCCAGTCAGCTCCGCTACTCGGGTCTACACACGCGCTCCTACCCCATATCCCAGTGGGAGGCCGCCTCTCTCTATTCCTGCCGGAATGGGAGAAGGCTACCAACAACGCTTGGGTGCTGGCCACGGTCAGCATAGGCCATCTCCCACTGTGGAAGCGAGGTCCGCCCGACTTCACCGGCATACGTCGCACTCCGGTGCCGTCATGTCAAGCCAGGGCGGACATATTGCGCGACGAAGTTCAGGCTCTGCTGGACAAGTCCGCAATCGGCGCATTCCACCGAGAGGAACAGGCGGGATTTTATTCCACGTGCTTTCCTCGCCCGAAGAAAGACGGCGGGTTCGTCCGATTCTCAACCTCAAGGGGTTGAATCGCATGCTCGAAGTACCATCCTTTAAGATGGAGACACTGCGCTTCGGTGATCTCATCTGTTCAGCCCGGCGATTGGCTCCACGTCAATCGACCTAAAGGATCGCGATATCTGCATGTACCCATACATCCCTCGTTCAAGCAGTACCTTCGGTTCTCTTTACGGACGGGATGTATTACCAATTCAGGGTGCTCCCCTTCGGCATATCGACTGCCCCAAGGGTGTTCACCAAGCTCATGTTAGTCCCAGCTACCCTAGCTCGCTTCGCAAGGAAGGCGTTGTTACCCTTACCTAGGCGACTGGTTGCTCGGAGCACTAACACAGCCAGCGAAGTCAAGATGCTACTCACACAGTGATAGACATTCTAACTTCGACTGGGGTGGATCATCAACCTCAAGAAATCCGACCTGGTACCCACCCAGGACTTGGTTTTTCTTGGGCCGATTCCAAACGAACAAGGATCTCGTTTCCTTTGTCGCCCGACCGGGTCACCAGAGTTAGGAGATGGTCTCTTCATTCCTCTCCCAGCCCCAGGCACCAGCACGGACTTGGCTCCGTCTACTGGGCCATATGGCGCGACGATCTCTGTAGTGTGGCGGCGGTTGAGGATCGTCCCATACAGCAAGCTTTGGCTCGGCTGTGGACTCACACGGAGGATCTGGGCGCAGTCTCACAGTCCCCCAGTGGTTGACACCTCACCTTCAGTGGTGGACAAATGTCGGGAATCTCACCAGGGGTTCCCCTTGGAAATCGACGCCAGCTCTCACAGTTCAGACAGATGCGTCCCTCACGGGCTGGGGGCGTTCTGGAGCAGTCTGTCGGCTTCCGGACTCTGGTCCGAAGCGAAGCTCACCTTCACATCAGCGTGTTGGAACTGAGAGCTGTCGCGGTTGGTATTCAAGCGCTTCAGAGAGCATGTCGTGGCCAGGTAGTCCGTCTTCAGTTAGACAACCAGGCGGCCATGTCGTTACATCCTGAAGCAGGGAGGCACGGTGTCCCCAGCGCTCCTCCGGGCGTGGGACTTTCTCCTCTGGGCGACCAGTACGATTGTCAGGTACTCCCTGTTTATCTCCGGGGCTGGAGAGCGTGCGCGAGCAGATGCGCCTCTCGCCGGATCCTGGCCCCCGCACGAGTGGATGCTTTCGACAGGCAGATATTCACAGTAATCTCCCAGTTGTGCGGGTCGTTCGAGGTGGATCTGTTTGCGTCCCGGCGGGGCGCATCAGACACCCGATGTTCTGCTCTCGGATACCGGACCCAGGGCGTTGGCTGCCGACGCCTTCCTGCTGGATTGGGACGGGCAAAGTGCTCTGGGCGTTCCCGCCATTACCACTCATTCCCCGTGTCCTTTCACAGCTGTCCACCCAGCCAGCTCGGCTACTTGTGCTACTGGCACCGCTTTGGCCGTCACAGAGCTGGTTTCGGTAATTCTCAGGTTTCTGGCTCAGCCTCCTGTTCTATTACCTTTGGCGACCCGGACATTCTCACTCAGAGCGGGCGCCCACCCAAATCCACGGATTCAGTGGGTGGCTTGGCCTCTGTCAGGTCTAACCTCGAGGCACGCGGAATTCCTGCAGCAGTTGCAGACACAATTCTGGCCGGTGAGGGATTCGACAAACGTTCAGTACGAGGATAGGTGGTCCCGCTATGCGTGGCGCTGGTGTTCAGATAAGGGGATTGCAGATCCCTTTTCTGCGGATTTAGTCCGAGTTTTGGAGTTTTTGCAAGCTCGTTTGGAAGAAGGCCTGGCGGCCGACCATTCGACGCGGCTACTCCACCGCTATTTCCACTTTTCACACCCCTGTCGATGGTGCTCTTCTGGGGCAGCACCCCTCGCATAGCGCTTTCCGCTGGCGCGAACGGATTCGACCTGCTCTCAGGCGAACCAGTCCACCTTGGGATTTGTCGATCGTGCTCGATTGGCTGTCCGGTCCCACTTTCTCACACCTATCGGCTATTTCCATTCAGTTGTTGACCTGGAAAGCTGTTTTTCTGGTGGCGGTAACATCTGGTCGAAGAGTCGGCGATTTACATGCTATGTCGTCCGACCGCTGACTGTGTTTCACACGGATCGTGTCAGTATTTCGGCCTCCCAGATACTTACCGACCGAAGGTCGATCACGCTTTCCATGTGACAGCTCCTATCGAACTTCCTACTCTTACCCAGCCTTCCACATCGGGGACCACTCCTCACGAAGCACTCACCCGTTGGATGTCCGTAAGACGCTCAAAGTCTATCTCAAGCGAACGCAGGGGATCCGCACGGGTACCCAGCTGTTCTGTTGTTACGGTGGCGGGAAGGCTGGTCTGCCAGCGAGCAAGCAGACTTTGTCTCGCTGGCTAGTATCGTCGTATTTGTGCCGCTTATCAGGCTAAGGGCAAGCCTCCCCTGAGGGTTGAAGGCTCACTTTCGGTCAGGGCAGTAGCCGCATCAAAAGCTTTGCATCGGCACTCCCCATTGAAGAGATCTGCTCCGCCGCTATTTGGAGCCGCCAAGCACGTTTATCGCCATTATCAGCTCGTCGCATTCCGTAATCGTGCAAACTTTGGTCGTACTGTTCTCTCCAGTGGACAGTGTCCTGCCACCCTGACCGAGTGAGTCTTGGTTTATTGGTTTGTTTTGACGCTACTGTACAATAAGATTCCATTATTGACATGTCTGCTAATGTGAGCTCACTCAGAGAACCTGTACCCCCTTTCGATTCTCTACGGAGTTACTGTATCGTTAGTGAGTGGTATTTTGTTTCCCCCCCACGGTGCTCTCATGAAAGAAGCCACTTAGTGGGTCGGATTTCGTTGATATTAGCACTACGTGCAATGTCTCATTATGCTAGAGGTCGTCTTTGAGCACAAATCCTCCCTGTCAGTTCCCCTCCCATAATGCCTCTCGGCGAAGCGAAACTGGGTCAGTGACAGGTGAGTGTTATGGCGTCTGTTCAATTTTTCCATGATACGATCGCTATATTTTGAGTGTGCTTGGACAGAATTCCCTCCTCCCTGGCCTCCGGTCTTTGGGAGTCTGTGTTTATGCATAATATGTACCCCAAGGACGATCTCTCTGAAAAAGAATTAACCAAACCTGCAGAGGTTTTCAATTCTTTGAAGAGAGTCGCCCTTGGGTAGGGCCTCCCACCTCCCGCAATTCTGTTCACTGATAAGAATTCAGCAGAAGGAATGATGATACGGGTCTAGGAGCCTACCCAGTTGGTGCGCATGCGCTAAGGGAGGTAACTCCGTGAGGTAGGGTCCGTATAATAAATAAAAGAGTTTATTTATTGTACAATCTTTTTATTCAAAAAACATTGATACAACTGTCACAGGACATTTTTCAGCCGGAAAATGCATAATATGTACCCCAAGGACGACTCTCTTCAAAGAATTGAAAACCTCTGCAGGTTTGGTTAAGTTTCCAGAATAAGAAAGTAAATCACAGCTCCAATCATCTTTTATTTACTCTAAAAAAATAAAACTTCACCTCCTGAGGGAAACAAGATACAATAAGGTAAAGATTGCACCAGTTTCTTCCTTGGTGTGTTGAAATCCTTCTGCAATCTTAAACATTTTTTCTTTTATAGTTTTTTATTCACTTCAGTTGGATACAAGCATCAATTTTCAGAAGCATATTATCTTAAACACTTATTTAATCGTCTTGTTTATCTGACATTGGAAGAGTTAGAAGCATGTTGTCATCTAAGTGCTAACTGTTCCTGTGTGCAGTTCATCCAGCGGCCCGACCAGGAGCCTGTCGAGGTGCTACAGCTGACCATCCCCAGCCATGCCATGATGTACCTCCAGGCCCTCATCTTCTACCTCCGACAGAACCTGCTGCAGTTCCTACACACGCCAAACTATGTGGATGCAGTGCCCGAGTACCACTTCCAGGTAGTCTTCACTTGCTTCATCTTTCCATCTCTACTACCTGTCTGTCATCTGCCCATCTCTACTACCTGTCTGTCATCTGCCCATCTCTACTACCTGTCTGTCATCTGCCCATCCATCTGTCATCTGTCCATGTGTACAATCCATCCGTCATCTGCCCATGTGTACCATCCATTGTCATCTGTCCATGTGTCCCATCCATCTGTCATCTGTCCATGTGTCCCATCCATCTGTCATTTGCCTATGTGTCCCATCCATCTGTCATCTGCCCATGTGTCCCATCCATCTGTCATCTGTCCATGTGTCCCATCCATCTGTCATTTGTCCATGTGTTCCATCCATCTTTAATCTGTCCATGTGTTCCATCCATCTGTCATCTGTCCATGTGTCCCATCCATCTGTCCATCTGCCCCATCCATCTGGCATCTGTCAATGTGTCCCATCCATCTGTCATGTGTCCCATCCATCTGGCATCTGTCCATCTGCCCCATCCATCTGGCATCTGTCAATGTGTCCCATCCATCTGTCATGTGTCCCATCCATCTGGCATCTGTCCATCTGCCCCATCCATCTGCCCATGTCAGAGGTACAGATAAGCTGTGTATCTGAGTAAATTGAGCAAATATTTATGTGAGAACTCAAATTCTATTCAGTCTATTGCGTACAAGTATGCTTTAATTGTGGTAAATACTCAATAAATGTGATCTTACATGCGTACACACAAAAATGTCAAATCTTAGCTTGCGTACCGGTGGATAAATAAAATAACTGAAGAGGTTCTAAATCAGGACATGAACTTGACAACTTGCAGTCTTTCTTATCGTTTCTCATATAACAGATCAAATATAAATAGCAAACATTAACATTTTTTTAAACTTAACTATATTTTCAAATTTAATGGAAAATGGCAAAATACCAAATTAAGTTTGAGTGAGGTGAGTACAATTTATTTGGTATCTCAAAGAAAAATTAGGATACCCAGTTGGAGATGAACAGAAGCGAGTACAATTACTCAATTACCCAAAAGGTTATCTGTAGCTCTGCCATGTGTCCCATCCATCTGTCATCTGTCCATGTGTCCCATCCATCTGTCATCTGTCCATCTGCCCCATCCATCTGTCCATGTGTCCCGTCCATCTGTCATCTGCCCATGTGTAATCTGTCATAATTATAGGCGTAAACATTCCCTCTGGGTTGTGATAGCCTTTTCCTCTGTCACTTGGTGATGTGTTACAGACTCCCTTAGATAAAATAAAAAATTTAATAACAAAGGGAAGTAATCCCTACCTAGATAACACTTGACCTCTCCTGATTACGTCCCTTGATTGCTCTTCTGCCAGTGGTTATCCACACGTGTCATATTTTAACACACAGTGGGGAGGTAATGAAAATGATTTTCCGGGGTGGGTGTACCGTGTACAACCCAGAGGTAAGTTTACTAATAATTACAGACAATACACTTGATTGTTCGTAATTATAGGCGTAAACATTCCCTCTGGGTTGTGATAGCCAGAATCCCACATACGGAAGGCGGGGATGTTCTTAGCTACCACTTCCCAGAGGGAATATTTACACCCCTGAAAGTAATACCTCAATCTCGTATATTGTCTGTGGTATGACGGAGGAAAAGGCTATCACAACCCAGAGGTAAGTTTACTAATAATTACAGACAATGCACTTGATTGTTCGTAAAAGTGTCACATCCTTCGATGTATCCACAATCTGACCTGTCCATATATCCTTATCTTGCCTCACACAAAAATGTTGCTTTCTGATTGGCTGAGTGCTCTCCTATTATTTTCAATGTGCCCCGCTTACAAGTGAGTAACATTTCAATATACCCCGCTGTCAATGGCAACTCATTTGGTACTTCGTGGTAGTAATTCTTTATCTCAAATAACATTGAATCATGTATGATGTACGGAAATTACCGATGTTTTGCGAATGCAAATCGATGGAAGGGAGATAACTCTAAATTTGTTTTTCTTGTCCGCAAAATCTGGCGATGGCTACAAAAAGATTTGTACCTGTGCTTCAAACAATTCAAAATTAACATTAAGGTGTTCGGTAAGATAAATACGTTGTTCACTGGTCCCCCGGGGCCCACGGGTTGATGTACCCTCGATGTTTGTTTATGTTACCCTCGCCCTTCGAGCTCAGGGAACATAAACAAACATCGAGGGTACATCAACCAGTGAACAACTTATAATGTATATATCCATCAACCATCAGTGCGTATAGACAACCTATCACATCATCCATGTGGACACAACAGAGGCTATTTATAAACCCCTGAACTTCTGTCTCTAAACAGGACTGTGTTGAAGGTCAAACAGGGGCTATACCACAAGAAGATGCCTTCCTGTATCTGAGGCCTCAAGCTATTGGAGGAAAAGGTAATCATTTGTGGCCATACATTACCCTTGTTCTTTATTTCTTGTACTGTTCAAACATTGATTAAACTGGTTATGATGAAGATGCTTATATAGGATCCCAGTTATTCTTATTGTAGCACTTATGGTCATAATGGGGGCGGTTGGGTAGCCTAGTGGTTAAAGGGTCCGCTCGTCACGCCGAAGACCCGGGTTCGAATCCCCACATGGGTACAATGTGTGAAGCATCGTATGAAAAATATGAACCCTGATATTTGCACCCTCGTAGGTAATAAATGCTGATAACTGTATATGGCTGACAATGAGGAGTAAGGGTGATGGTGTTAATGATTATGGTGTTGATAATGAAGATGGCGATGATGATGATGATGATGATGATGATGATGATGCTGATGTCCCTGTATGCAGGTATTGCATGTATCAGCCTGTCTCTGGCTGATGGTACAGGGAGCCCGGTGAAGCTGCTGAGTTGCCCCAAGCCGTGCAGCATGTCCTCCACCAAGATACAAGGCCCAGAGGAGTTCCAGCGTCTGGTGGAAACGTTCATTCATCAGCCTAACCCCTCCCCCTCCAGACCAGGTAACGGTGCCGTGTAACATCAGCAGTCCATACAAATAGTTTCCTGCAGGTTTAGGGCAGTGGGGTAGGCCAGTGGTTAAAGATTTTGCTTGTCATGCCAAAGGCCCAGGTTCGATTTCCCACATTGGTACAATAATATGTGAAGCCCATTTTGGGTGTCCCCTGAGGTGATATTGCGGGAACATTGCTAAAAGCAGAGTCAAACCCAACTCACTCACTCACGTCTGCAGATTCAGTCATTTATGTCAGTACTGGTAGTAGTCAAAAACTATTTTGTTAAACATACTTTCTGTCTTGAAGTAAAAGCTTGGTCTCTGCATATTCCTTCTTTATTCATCATTTTTTAGTTTTCAGGATAACGGTCTTGTCAACTTTGACACAGTCGCATCTGACTGTATAACTCTGTATATTCAGTGGGTGTCTGGAATCTGCAAACTCTGATCATCTGACTTTGTACCTCCAGGCCCCACAGCGCTGATCCAGTTCAAGGTCTGGGAGAACGGCAGCTCCGACATGAAGGCCCTGCGGGAACGCCTGATGAATGCAGTGCGGTATTCCCTGTGTGACGTTGTGATGGAGTACACGCTGCTGACTGCGCCCATCTGCCACATCCCTCGACATCTTCAGGAGGGCTTCCCCCTTCCCATGTGTTCTGTGCCCAACTCACCTACGAGCCCCAAGGGTAGGACACTCATTTGCTCTCTCTTGTCCTACAGTCAACAGTTTGCTTATCACAGCTTAGAGCCAGATGTTTACAGGCTATATACCCACAGTGTTTGGGAAGACGAATACCAGGGTATGAAACTCCCAAATATTTCAGCCAGACCACTGGGTTGGTTAGATGTAAAACTTGCCAGCCCTGACCAAAACTTACCTGCCCACAAAATATCTTCATATACACGTCTAAATTTTAACCTGACCGTCGGGCCGGTGAATATGAGAATCTGGTTGTCCGTGTTGAAAATAACCCGTCCCTGGTGGTCGGGCAAGCAGGTATTTTGAATGTTGTGAATACAAGTTCTTGTTTACAAAGAATGATTAAAATGTGTTTTTTAAGGTGGAATGTTTTCCAATTTGATGATTTTTTATGCAAACATATGAAACAAAACAAGGTGTTTATTGTGCTTCGTCAGCACTGGAAAGAACTGTGCGTTAATAGCTTTTGGTTGAGCTAGACTCACCCATTTGTGTTTCAATGACATCTCTCTCACGCCAGACCCACCCAACGAGACACGTGACCGGCGCCACTCCATCATCAGTCGCCAGGCATCCGATGGCATGAGGATGAACACCGGGCTGCCGGCCGTCCCCCAGTCGGCATCCCCCTTCATGTCACTCAAGGGCATCGTCGCCAAGGCTGACCCCAAGGTTCGCATGACCTCTCCCCCTCCTGATCTGGGCAAGGTAACACACACAGATATAGAATCGTAGTGACTAGACTGATGGTGGTTGACACTAACATCATGGTGACAGTGCTGGCTCTACCCTGTACAGATGGACATGTGTTTGTATTTACTAACTTCAAGATTTGTAGAAACAAAAGGAGACTTTCCTGATAGATGCCTCTAAAACTTTAGATTCATACAGTCTTGTGTTGGTTCATACTAACTCTCAGTGCATGGGAACACAGGTGTCTGTAGAACTGTAGATCAAATTGGTCTTGTGTTGGTTTATACTAACTTTCAGTGCATGGCAACACAGGTGTCTGGAGAACTGTAGATCAAGATGGTCTTGTGTTGGTTGATACTAACTTTCAGTGCATGGCAACATAGGTGTCTGTAGAACTGTAGATCAAGATGGTCTTGTGTTGGTTTATACTAACTTTCAGTGCATGGGAACACAGGTGTCTGTAGAACTGTAGATCAAGATGGTCTTGTGTTGGTTTATACTAACTTTCAGTGCATGGGAACACAGGTGTCTGTAGAACTGTAGATCTAGATGGTCTTGTGTTGGTTCATACTAACTTTCAGTGCATGGCAACACAGGTGTCTGTACAACTGTAGATCAAGATGGTCTTGTGTTGGTTTATACTAACTTTCAGTGCATGGCAACTTAGGTGTCTGTCGAACTGTAGATCAAGATGGTCTTGTGTTGGTTTATACTAACTTTCAGTGCATGGGAACACAGGTGTCTGTAGAACTGTAGATCAAGATGGTCTTGTGTTGGTTTATACTAACTTTGAGTGCATGGCAACACAGGTGTCTGTAGAACTGTAGATCAAATTGGTCTTGTGTCGGTTTATACTAACTTTCAGTGCATGGCAACTTAGGTGTCTGTACAACTGTAGATCAAGATGGTTTTGTGTTGGTTTATACTAACTTTGAGTGCATGGCAACGTAGGTGTCTGTAGAACTGTAGATCTAGATGGTCTTGTGTTGGTTCATACTACTCTCAGTGCATGGGAACACAGGTGTCTGTAGAACTGTAGATCAAATTGGTCTTGTGTCGGTTTATACTAACTTTCAGTGCATGGCAACACAGGTGTCTGTAGAACTGTAGATCAAGATGGTCTTGTGTTGGTTTATACTAACTTTCAGTGCATGGGAACGTAGGTGTCTGTACAACTGTAGAATAATATGGTGCTGTGTTGGTTTATACTAACTTTCAGTGCTTGGGAACACAGGTGTCTGTAGAACTGTAGATCAAGATGGTCTTGTGTTGGTTTATACTAACTTTCAGTGCATGGGAACCGAGTGTCTGTATAACTGTAGATCAAGATGGTCTTGTGTTGGTTTATACTAACTTTGAGTGCATGGCAACACAGGTGTCTGTACAACTGAAGAATAATATGGTGCCCTGTTGGTTTATACTAACTCTCAATGCAGAGCAACAGAGGTATCTCTGGAACTGTAGATCAAGATGGTCTTGTGTTGGTTTATACTAACTTGCAGGGCACGGATGCTTGGAAAGAAGACTTTAAATTCACAATCATTCTATTCTCATTCATAATCAATAACCAATTATTGATCGCTTGCTGTTAAAAATGTGACCATTTAACAGCAATACTTTCATTGCATTACAAAAGACACTGCTAGTGGTTGTTACAGATTCACAGTGTTAATTAAGAAGGAAATCAAATTACAGTACATTTATACGGTACCTTGTGAAAAGTAACTATTGCTGATGTAAGATTTACATAAATATTCATAGAGATGTATTGACCATGAAATGAACATCATCTAGCATCAAAACCTGGATACCAAGATCATCTTTGGTTTAATTCAAATGTAACATTAAAGAATTTATATTTTTTATTAAAAAACAAAACAGTTTGGAAATGGAATGCTTTTGATTGAGGAAGCTTATATCCTTTAGAAGAACTAGCTATATTTCCTTCTTTCAGTCATTCGACTGGTCGTCAGTGCAGTCAACCACCCAGCCCAACACTCCGTCTGCTGGGTTTGGCATGCGGACAGATTCAGCCAGTTTGATGGCAGACTCTGGGCTGAAGGACCTTGTCACCAAGTACGAGGATGGAGAGCGGGGATCACTCAATAATGTTTTCACCACGCTTATGGACCCGTGGCTGGCTTACTGCAACAAGCTTGGTAGGGGACAGTCTTGTGAAACTATAAGCTAAAAGAGGGATTTTTATGGGGATTTATTAAGAAATGGAGCTTGGGGGGGGGGTGGGGGTGGGGTGTGTGTTAGGTGATGGGGGTCAAGGCATGGGAGTTGGAGAAAGGACAGTGACCTATGTGTGAAAATTCCTGTTTGACATTTTCATTATTATTTTTTTGTAAAACACAGCTCTTCAGTTTCTTTTGTGTTTGGAGCTGTGTATTCACCAACCATTTATAGAGTTTTACTGCCTATGAAGTGTTTGTATTTTGATGGATAGACGTTTTGGATTAGAAGGGTTGTAATCCTTGAACTGCTCACATGTCAATCCTGCTCTCTGTTCTCAACCTTGACCTTAGTTACTAAATGACCTCTACCTTGCAGGTACTCCGTCAGTGTTCCCGGTGTCAGCTGAACCTACTGTCCCGCTACTCCGTGGACTACGTGATGTACGAAATGCAGAACATCATCAAGGACCTGTCCCCCACCATTGTCCCCCGTGCTTTCAAGATCGTCAAGGGACATAGCATGGACGCCCCACTGGAGGGCATCCCCTACCATCCATGCCGGCACCCAGTGCAGGTGTGATTTATTAACTCATCATGACCTGTTGTCCTGGTTAAATGGTAGACAGCTTTACCTTCTAGTCTTGTTGAGGCCAAGCCTCATCCTTCATTTTCCATTGTATTATATCCTGATTGTGTTATGTCCCAACTGTGTTATGATAAATACCCTCGACCCATTTGTCACCATCGTGTTTGTTGAGTCAGGTTTTGATGACACAACACTTAAAACAGATTAAACTGAAAATACTCTTTTCTGAAATCAGTCAAATCTGGAAGTAACTCAAATCAATTTTTATTTTATTTCATTAATTGAGCAATTTTACCAAGTTCTACTATATTTTGTGAAATGGCTTGTAGTTGCATTTAATCATTTCTGTTTTTCATTGGCCATGAAGTTTTGGCTGAGAGTCAACTGCAACAACACTTGTGTGATGTCATAAATATGGTTAATGATTTAAACATGCTGGAAGTGCAATATGCTTGTCTCAATTGTTGCATGCTACAAGTACAACTGAAACATCTTGAAGCATAAGGACTTGCCTTCCCTCTTAGTACACAGGAAAATGTTTTGCCGCTAAAAATTGTTCATAATAGTTTTGTGGTTTATATAAATATGTCAAAGGCTGTCTTCTATGAAGCCATCACTTGAACTTGAGATTAATACCAAATTTACATTCAGACCTTTGATCGGTGGCTGGGGTTAAGGTCATGACTGAGAGAAATTTGAAGAATAGTTAGTGATATAGCTGGTGACGTCAGGTCCAAACCAAGGCTATGGTCATGAATGAGTCTGGGTATTTATCATGACTAGAATGGCAAAAAGCTCTTTCCCTGACTTCCCTTGTCAAGTGTTGGCTTCTGTTATCTTATTACTGAAGGGAGGTGGGGTAGCCTAATGGTTAAAGCGATTCCCCACATGGGCACAATGTGCGAAACCCATTCCTGGTGTACCCCGCCGTGATATTGCTGGAATATTGCTAAAAGCGGCGTAAAACTAAACTCAGTCAGTCAGTCAGTTGTTTCTATTGTGAGAACTACTACAACTCGTCTAAATTTCTGCACTCCACAGCCTCATTCATCCTTGGAGACCTCCCTTGATATGAACGTGTCACGTCAGAGGTCGATGGACTTTATTCTGATTGGTCGAGATGTTGAACAGTGGAAGACGTTTGTGTACGATGGCTCTGTTATGGATCAGCCAGCGTTTACGTCAACACCTGTCACAAAATGTAAGTTGGTAAATCGACAGCCTCCATTTATTCTTGAAATGTCCATCATAGAACTTCGACTGTCACATGCCTGGCTTGAAGTAAAAGGTTTATGATTAAACTCACACAGTACTCATGGATAGGGGGTCCTGAATGTCAAAATGTTTCGCAAACTCTTTGTAAGACGAATGTCAGAAAACAATTTTGAAATATACTGGTGCTAATCAAAAGAAGTTGAAGAAAAACCTGGTTATTTTTTCATCAGACTAAAGTTGATCTGTCATGCCATCTTTAAGGATATCTATAAATTCTTTATGCTAATGTGCTCTATTCAGTAAATTAGAAGAGTTACATGCCTTGCATTGACCAGGAACTTCTGTCTGACTTTCGACTTTCTGACACGACATAGTGGTCATGGATTAAAACAGTAAATCTCTTCTGCTCTTTTATTACAATAACATGTAGTAGAAATCGTGCAGTAGTTGTAAGGTCAGCAATGTTGGATGTTGCCAGCCTACCAGACAGTTCAGAAGTTCCAACCTCTCTTGTCTGCTGACGGAACGAAGAGTCAGGAACTTGGCAGATTCACCTTGACCTTGGAGAACCCCTTCGTCCCCAGACAGAGGCTGCTCATCATCTTCATCAAGGACAGACAGGTGAGATGTCACTCGGTTTATGGCTAGGATGAGTGTGAAGGGGAGAGTTTGTCCTTGAAACTTTATGCCATTATGTTATATTATCTTGCCTCACACATAAATGTCGTTTTCTGATTGGCTGAGCGGTTTTCTATTATTTTCATTGTACCCCGCTTACAAGCAAGTAACATTTTCCATGTACCCCACTTGGAATGCCGAACTCATTTGGTACTTCATAGTAGTAATTCTTTATCTCGAATAACATTGAATCACGTATGATGTACGGAAATTACTGATGTTTTGCGAATGCAAATCGATGGAAGGGAGATAACTCTAAATTTGTTTTTCTTGTCGTCTTGTCGTCTGGTACTCCATACTATGATCCGATACCCGTGCTTCAAACAGTTCAAAATACCTCAGGGCCCATGGGTTGATGTACTCTCAATGTTTCTTTATGTTCCCCTCGCCCTTCGAGCTCAGGGAACATAAACAAACATCGAGGGTACATCAGCCCATGTCCCCCTGGTGACCAGTGAACAACTTATAATGTAAGGAAATTTTTTTTGGAGTTTTTGGTATATGATTGTTTCATTAGTCATGCAACTGGAGGTGGACAGCCAGGATCTGTCTTTGTAGTCATCCCTTGTTTGTCATCATTGTCATTATAACTTGTGTCAAGTCTACTATTTGTGTCTCTTCTTGACACAAATCAATCCTTGTAGATGGTGCCAAATTTCACTGACAAATGGGATTTTATTTTTATTATGTTCATATGATGTACTGCCAAAATATTGATGAGGGGATTACCATACAGTATATATAAAGATATATTTCATTTGTGCATTGATGCAACAATATTTTAACACTTGCTTTTGTCAGTACTGTACGACTTTGGTATGTGGTACTCACAGGTGTACTGATGGATCCTGTTGGGGGGTTGTATCTTCAGCTATTGGTGTACTGTACAACTTTGGTATGTGGTACTCGCAGGTGTACTGATGGATCCTGTCAGGGAGTTGTATCTACAGCTATTTGTGTACTGTATGACTTAGCTATGTGGTATGGGTACTCACAGGTGTACTGATGGATCCTGTCACGGAGTGGTATCTTCAGCTATTGGTGTACTGTATGACTTAGCTATGAGGTATGTGGTACTCACAGGTGTACTGATGGATCCTGTTAGGGTGTGGTATCTTCAGCTATTGGTGTACTGTACAATATGGTATGTGGTACTCACAGGTGTACTGATGGATCCTGTCAGGGTGTGGTATCTTCAGCTATTGGTGTACTGTACGACTTTGCTATGTGGTATGTGGTACTCACAGGTGTACTGATGGATCCTGTCAGGGTGTGGTATCTTCAGCTATTGGTGCACTGTACGACTTTGGTATGTGGTATGTGGTACTCACAGGTGTACTGATGGATCCTGTCAGGGTGTAGTATCTTCAGCTATTGGTGTACTGTACGACTTTGGTATGTGGTATGTGGTACTCACAGGTGTACTGATGGATCTTAACTGTGACTTTTGCTTCCAGCTATCAGTGTACACATACAACTGGGCAGGGGACGTGACGTCCCACCTGGAGGAGAAGATCAACAAGCTGGTCAAGTGGAACAATGACCGGAGCCAGGTCCTGGGCAGCATCATCAGCCAGAAACTCGGACTCTTCCACCACAACTCCTTCTCTGACGCCACCAACACCCAGGTCCACCATCAGTTAATCTCAATCATGTTTTGGCATTATCTTTAAACATCATCTGTTGGCATAATCATTCAAGTGACTAACGGGATTGGGTGGTCAGGCTCGCTGACTTGGTTGACACATGTCATCGGTTCCCAATTACGCAGATCAATGCTCATGCTGTTGATCACTGGTTTGTCTGGTCCAGACTCAATTATTTACAGACCGCCGCCATATAGCTGGAATATTGCTGAGTGCGGCGTTAAACTAAACTCACTCACTCACTCATAATCATTCAATATCATTTGTTGGCATAATTTTTAAACATAATTTGTTGGCATAATCTTTAGAGATAATGTGTTGACTTAATCTGTTAATATCAAATGTTTGCTTAATCTGATAACACCATCTGTTAGCATAACATGTGGGCATAATCTGTTTGCATATTTTCACTGATTAATATTTCATCATATTGTCATTTTCTTCTGATCTGGCTAAATCGCACTGTTAATGTGCCTTGTTTGTGTGATCAAGTCTGCTTGTTTCTCATGCTTGTCTCCTTCTACAGGATGTGAGCCAGCTCTCGGACTTCGACAGTCTGATCAAACACCAGGCCCCTCCCCAGCGTGACACCCAGCGTCGACACAGCAGCATGTCGGCCCGTGATCGCGGAATCTCTCGCATGATGAGCATCTTCAGACCGTTTGACAAGACATACAAGAACCTGCAGCCTCCCCGCCCACTGCAGAACACCACCCTCATGTCCCTGCGTGACCCGGTGTCGGTCCACGGCAAGCAGGCCCAGGATATACGCAGCCAGTGTCGGAGAGGTGAGCTCCTCGGTGCAGGATTGGTTCAGGATAAGGGGAGCTCTGTGTAGTTGTCAGATTCTATTAGAGGTTTGAATTTCGTTGGCGCTTAACTATTGAGTGATCTGCAAAGATTTGGTTAAACTGAGTGTCTGACACCGACCTCAAATATGGACACAGGACATGACTGCTTGGTCATGTGATTATTATTGACTTTGTCTACAGGAAAACAACATGGCATCTGTGAGTCGCAATGTGACCTTCCCATTCTTTTGATAGATTTTGACTAAACTTTAATTGTAAGATAAAGAAGACTGCAAGAGCACTGTCCAAATGAAGTTTGGTATAACAAATAATTGCTTATTCTTGACGATTTCTTGATGAATAATCAAGATAAGCCCACTTCAGTTGCGGTTCTCAGGCCTTTGATTTCCTTGCTACTTGACCTTGCTACTAATAATTGCTTGCATTAAGTATTTGTTGTCTCATCTTTGTCAACCAATAACCTGTTTTAGGCAGTCTGTCTTGAAAACAAACTTTGAGAAAATTAAAGGCATAACTGTAAATTGCTGAAGTTAACTTTGTGGAAGAAAATTTCATTTTGTTGCTTAAACTATCAATCACTCTGGCTCAGAAATGATTGTTCGCAAGGTGTTTTGATATCACTCAGTTATTGCTGGCTCTCTCACAACAGTCACTCACACATGTGACTTACATGTGAGTCTTGTTCAGTAGTTGAAGTGATGAGGACAGGAAGTAGGCAGGATGGCTGCGTCCAACTGATGTTGACTATGTTGTTTCAGACACTGACCGCTTGGGCAAGCTACGGCAGCTGTATGTGGGATGGTTACAGAAGAACATTGCTAATCCACCAGTTTCTGTAAGCTCTACTGTTGTTTGTGATCTGTTTACAACAATGGCCATGAACTTGACCTAGATACTGATGTTTAATTTAGATAGTAAATCCAAACACCAATGTGTTGAACATAAAGCACGTACACAAATACTATAGTTGTCCAAGTTTTGAGAGAATTGTAAAATCATAACTAAATAAGGAGCATGCTGGAACCACACTTTGACATGTTTCACGACATATTCAGATCACAATTTCCTTATGATCATTTGCCCAATTGGTGTGTTACCATGGTTACTATGTTCAGTAAGCTGTGAACAGCTTTGTACAATAGGGCCTGGCCTTGGTAGCAAGAATGTGGTTGGTACCAGTGGTGCCATTGCTTTGGTCCCTCTCTGGAAAGGGCTCTGACTCAGGGTCTTGTCAGGGTCCTGTTTGAATTTTCTCATGGTCTGTGTCATGATTTTTCGTGAGGATCTCTTGCTAGCATCTTGACGGGTCTTGTCCCTCTAATGTAGCAGCACAAATGTTTCATACAAGACTGAATTTAACACCAACACCATCATCATCACTAACATCATCAACACCAACACCAACATCCTCACCAACACACTGTTTTACTGGTGTAATGTTCCATATATTTCATCATGTTTTACGTCAGATCATTGTCATGTATTACCAATCCTTTTCCGCATGTGAATCCTAATGTCACATGTAACCAGGGGAGATAACTCTCATTAATACGTATGCCTAGAGCACATGGCCAGAACTGAGTGTTGTGTCAGGTATTGGATTGAATTCCGGAAAGCATTAAGCTGTAACTGACAAAGTGATCACAATCATAATGCTGTCTACTGGACTTGTTATGTAATATCTTGAATGCTAAACACCTTGAAGAGTTGATTTTGTTAGATGATTGTTAGTAGGGGTGTCGCGATACGCGAATGTATCGATGCATCGATACATTTTTACTGACGATACGATACGCGATACATGCTTGCGTGTATCGATTCCTATTTTAAAACTTTATCGATTCAAATTTTTATACTATATCCATCTCCTTCAAAGTCTTGATAGTAAAATTATACGAGATCGCTCCGATAAATAGATGTAGCTAGCTTTACTTAAAAAATAGGTTGGAAACTAACAGCTTTTGTGATTGGCTAGACTATTTTGATGGACCAATCAGCGAGCGCGTACGTTGCCGGTAAGGTAATGCTATGAAAAGGCGCGAAAATTATGTATCGCGATACGTATCGTATCGTGACCTTAAAATCGTGATACGTATCGTATCATGAGATTGGTGTATCGTGACACCCTTAATTGTTAAACCCCAAACTGATGGAAATCATCCAATAGCGATAATTTCAACTGCTCTCAAAATATTTTTATTGAGATAACAGCTCTTAAACTTTGAAGCACATTTACAGTTGCCAAAGCATAGATTTTCTGCAGAACAGTTGTCCTCAAATGTCCTTTTCCTCTGTACAGGAGGACTACCTTCTCCTGTTGAAACAGTCTTCTCGGCTGTTCCACTACTGCGCCACCCCACTGCTGTTCCACCCACAATGGCGACAGCGAGTTGTGGAGAAGCCTCTCGCCTTTGTCAGACAGGAATCGACTGTTACACTGAGTCCTCCAGCCGAGAAGCCAGAGGGATCGAAATCTGTAAGTAGATTTGTTCTAGTGACTACAGTTCAAGGAACAGTTATAGGTTAAAAATTATAAAATATGAAACATGCTTCTATTTGAAATTCATCAATATGTTGGTCATTACAGGGGTATTTGACTCCGCCCTAAAGCTGGAATTCTGCTGAGTGCCACATTAAACAACAAACAAAACAAGGGTGTTTGAAGTATCAATTAAATGGTGAACAAAAGATTTGACTTTAATTAAGAGAATATTTTTTTCTTTGAAATCAATGAAAAATGACAATGGTAAAAAAACATTATTTGAAGGTTCGAGAATAGTTTCCATAAAAATCAGTGTGAAACACAGAAGTATTGTTGAATATATATACAAGAATATATTTTTACAGAATTCAATAATCTGATAGTAGATCACAGTTTCTCCTAGGTAGATTATAATATCAAATACATAGATTTAAGAATCATTCACTAATACTCTTCCATACTTTCCTGGTCACAGATTGGGCAGTTGATGGAGAGCACAAGGTATACATGTACAAATTTGACCCTAGATGTTCTATTTAACACCAGCGTTTTCTCAAAATGTAAGAAACTACATTGAAATTGTACTGTCAAGATACTGGACTCTGTTATTTTAGGGAATCTGAGCTACAAGTCAAGAGTGTCCAATATATCATCAGACACAATGTTGTATCTACTGTGATATAGATGTATAGATATATATGAAACATAGTTTTGTAGTTTGTAAATACCATTGAGAGAGCAATACAATCAAAAGTACTTGTCTTGTCCGATCTTGTCTCAAAACCATCCTCTTCAAACGAGCATTCGACTAAGAGCACATGAGCAGGACTCTGGATATGTAGGGCTATACAAATGTCTATTTTGATTTGATTTGATTTGATTTGTCTTCCAAACCTGTTTACTTCTTGTGGATAAATATGTCTAAACCAAGGTAATATTGCCGTACCCACACTCTGGCAGTCCAGTTTTTGATCATTTTACCTTTTATTGAAGGAAAAGACATTTAATTTTATTTGTTGTGACAAAATGCAAATACTTGTGCTTGATTCCTTGAGATTTCCACAAGTTAGGTTATCAAAGTTGCATTCAAGTTGAAAAAGTGCTGTTGACATATTTGCCCATTATATTAACTCATTTCAAGTTATAATCACAACTATAAAGACAGCAGTGATCAACTTGATGTTGATGGTGAACATTTAAGTAAAATAGCAAAATCACTTTCTGATTGATGAAAATACACATTTGTCAATGTCTACTGTCAGTCATTTATATCAAGAGGTACTTCAGTGAGGTGTACAACATCTCGGGTTCTGTTAATTGTTTGATCGGTATTCTAGAAGTTGGTGAGTCAAAAGTGAAATGTACAACCATATAGATTCTTACATCATTATGAAGCTAAAAATGTAAGAATCTACATCGAAACATTGCTCTGTGCAATAAACACGAAGTTGTCATCCATAAAGTTGTATGTTTCATTTTCGGGTTCTGTTGTCTACGACTGATGTGTGTGTGTATATTTCAGTGTAGTCCCAGCTGTGGGCTACACGTGCCCTTGTTGCAGTACTTTGGGGAAGTAAGTCAGCGTTGTAGATTGCTGCCAATCTTTCGTTCATTGCAGTGGTTCTGTCATCAAACTCCTCTGTTGTCGTCATGTTAGACACTCATCAGCTGTCACATTTCCTTTGACGGCAGCACGTCTATTACAGTATTCAGTTCCAGACTCACTGTGTCATCAGTTTTGTCGTCAAAATCAAGATTTGGTTCTCCATTTTGTTAATGTGTTTATATTGATTGAGTGTGGCAGGAGATTATACTTATTTGTGAATAACCGTGAGAGTAGAATCTACTGTTTTTTAGATAACTTATCATATAATGGATAGTGGTATCAATGCAACACACTGATCTGATAAACTTCAGGATCAGTATCAGGATCCGATAAATATGCAAATAAGATCATGTGACAGGATCTACTTTGATTAAATCTTTTCGCAAACGTGATGCCATCTTGCTGAAAAACAAAAGCATTTTCAGTATATATGTTTCTCAACATGTGTATTTATAAAACAATATGACTTCCAGTCAGGTTGGTACAATATACCATACGGGCGGTTATCTCAGACGTTGTATTCCTCTATTTCTAAAGTATTTTTCTTGAGTGAAAATATGTCTGAAACTAAGAATGACATTATATGATAAAGAGATTATTACCCATGTGTGTCTCGGTATGGCAAATATCGTATATTATAAATATAAAACATGTTACTTTCATGAAAGGTTCATGTAATGGGTAATACAATTTTTATTCCAAATATATACTTTTTACAACTCAAAACACACTTGGTTTATAATCTCTATAGAAGACACTGGTAGTATGTTATTAGGTGTAGGATTTTCTTTTGTGCATGATATCATCATGGTTTGTGCATGTTTTATGATATTCTGGAGTAGGTCAAAGTTATCAGATCTTCTCCATTTTGTTGGTGTGATTATATTCATCGAGTGTGGCAGGAGATTATATTTATTTGTGAATAACCATGAGAGTAGAAGCTACACTGTTTATAGATAACTTTATCATATATTGGATAGAGTGAGTGAGTGAGTTGGGTTTTACGTCGCTTTTAGCAATATTCCAGCAATTTCACAGCGGGGGACACCATAAATGGGCTTCACATATTGTGCCCATGTGGGGATTCGAACCCGGGTCGTCAGCGTGACGAGCCGACGCTTTAACCATTAGGCTACCCCACCGCCCCTTATATTGGATAGAGGTATCAATGCGACAAACTGATCTGTTAAACTTGCTATCAAGATCCGATAAATATGGAAATCCTTTCCTGTTTTCATGACTTCCTGACTTAACCAGTTATGATTGTGTATTTCACCCTGGAGAGGTAGAAAAGATACCCAGAACCATGTGCTTTTTTATCAAAGACAGCAAAAAGTATGGATTTCATGTTCAAAGTGACCACATGTGAAGATCCGGGATAGAATTGGTCTTCAGCAACACATGTTTGTCCTGAGAGCAACTAACAGGATCAGATAGTCAGACTGGCTGACGTGGTTGACACGTCATTGTATCAAAATTATGTAGATCGATGCTCATGATGTTGATCACTGGATTGTCTGGTCCAGACTTGATTATTTACAGACTGCCATCATATAGCTGGAATATTGCTGAGTGCGGCGTTAAACAACAAACAAACAAAAGATGAGAATGACCCTGATTGGAGAAGGTCAGTTTACTCTACGAAAGATGTGGTAACCCAGTTTTCCAGGTCCCTACAGTTTGATCTACAGAATTATGTCCCTTTTGCATGCCAGGAAGCAGTGATTGTGGGTTGAAAGCCATAGTCTGCCCTGATTGTTTCTAGGTATGTAAACATTATACACATGTTAATGCTAAACATCAATGCCCTCCACTTCAGTGCTGAAAGCAGTGTTACTCCAGAGGGCAGTCCCTCAGGAAGTGTCATTCATAACAGTGTGATAAATAGAGCTTGCATAAAACACACCAACCCTTTAACTTGTGGTGATTTTTTTTGTAACAAACACATTGACAAATAATACGATCAGGGTTAAATTCTATTGGTTTTAATACATGACTTGTTGACACTGGTCCAGTATGTGGTTTTCATTGTCCTTTTGAACATTTTTAACAGGAATCATACTTAGTGATTTAACACTTCGACATGCATGCCCTGATGAAACCTTCTATAGCTTTCATGGAAGTGATTCATTTGTTTCTGTGCTAACCAACTGTTTCAAAATGTCACATAGATCATATAAAGAATGCTGTTCTCGTGGTCATCTTGTGGACATTTTTGGAACAACTTGAAATGGATTATGACATAAAAATAATATGAATAGTTTTAAAGAAAATATTATTTCCTCAGTATTTTTTTTTAACCATCTTGGGGTAAGTTATTATATCAAATGATATTGTTTGATAAAGTTTAGCCAAAGAACACTATGTTATATTATTTCAGGTGATGTTTTATTGTGTTCTGATGTTGTAAATACTATCGCCACTGTTCCAGCGATCTCGCCACAGTTCTGGAGCCTCAATAAGCAGCCTGAGAACCAAACGCTCCGACAGTCAGGATGGCAGGAAGAAATCTGTGACCCCCCAGGACTCCCGAAGTCCGCCCCAAGCCCCCTGACCCCTCCCTCGATGAGGCGTGGCATGCTGAGCTTCGTCGCAGCTTCATCAACCAATACAAGAGCTACCTGAAGGATCTCGGCTTTGTTGTCATCAAAGTGCAGCATGCTCCGTCAAAGAAGAGGTAGGAGTTGTTCTACAAAGTAGGATGGATGAGTTTGTTTAGCTTCCATTGTCGTGGTGATTCTAGGGTACCCCATATGTGTATCTTGTGTTTGTGCCCCATGCCAGTCTTGCTACTCTAGAACGTTGCCATCACTGATGGTGCCCCCAGACAGCCATGCTCCGTCAAAGAAGAGGTAGGAGTTGTTCTACAAAGTTGGCTGGATGAGTTTGGTTAGCTTCCATTGTCGTGTACCCATGCAGATGTGTGTCTTGTGTTTGTGACCCATGCCTGCCATACTAGTCTAGAACGTAACCAGAATTGTGTCTGATGTTGTACAAGTGAGTTGTCTTGTGTCAGGTACAGCAAGGTGGTGCCCCTGACGGCCATGCTACACTAGAACGTAGCCAGCATTGCGTCTGATATTGTACAAGTGAGTTGTGTCTTGCGTCAGGTACAGCAAGGTGGTGCCCCTGAGCTGGCCATGCTACACTAGAGCATTAGCCAGCATTGCGTCTGATGTTGTACAAGTGAGTTGTGTCTTGTGTCAGGTACAGCAAGGTGGTGCCCCCTGACGGCCATGCTACACTAGAACGTAGCCAGCATTGCGTCTGATGTTGTACAAGTGAGTTGTGTCTTGTGTCAGGTACAGCAAGATGGTGCCCCCTGACGGCCATGCTACACTAGAACGTAGCCAGCATTGCGTCTGATGTTGTACAAGTGAGTTGTGTCTTGTGCCAGGTACAGCAAGGTGGTGCCCCCTGACGGCCATGCTACACTGCTTGATGATGACCGGAAGTCGACGATGGTGTTCAGTCTCCAGAAGACATTCCAGTCCGGTATCATGATGATGGAGATTGGGTTCCGAGATGCCTACTTCTGTGCGAAGATGTTCGTCTTTGATGCACAGAGTCTCGGGACTCCAGTCAACCAGCAGGTGGGTGTTCTGAGCATCAGCTATATGCAAGACACTAACACACTTGCCAAGTCCAGGCAGTACAGGCTAGTTATGAAGCGACACCCTCTTTCATAAGCCTACAATTAGGCATAAAAGTTAGTACTAGGTATTCAAGAGAATAATGATAATTCACTGGACTTCAAGTGTAAAATTGATTTTGAGAGATATTGTGAGTCTCAGCAGAATATTGTTGTATGTGTTTGTCGTGTTGGCAGATGCGACTGCTGTTTGTTGACGAGTGCGAGAAGTGCAAGGACCTGATCCACGTCCACTCCTTCGCATACGACTTCCACCTGCGCTGCATCCAGACCTACCTTAGCGGCGAGGCCTGCGTCTTCAACCAGGGCTTCCACCTCACCAGCTTCCTCGCAGACTTCATCCGCATCTACCCCTACCCTCCCAGCTTCTCTCGTAACTTCCTCCGTCAAGGTAGGTCTGCCTTGCTGGCTGTCACCCTTGTGAATAGTCCTGGGAGAAATCAACTAGTTGACATTATTTAGTGAAAGAGGTCTTACATGCCCAACTCTCTCTGGAAGATTAGGATCTTAAAATTGTGTGTGATGTGTAGACATCAATTAATGAGTGACAAGGAATGGCGGATTGTCTGTCCCTAGTGAATTTCATTTTATAAGTCACAAGCATTAGCACGTCTCATAAAATTACATTCCATCGGGACAGATAGACCCTCATACCTCATCATGAGTAGTATACTGTTTTACCCATCATTAAATTTAAACAGACATTAAGAAGAAACACCAACATTCACCATTGTAAGAGAGTTACAGTCACATTTTTACAAATTCCTACACCCATGCCACGAAATTCCTGGAATATCACCAAATCATAGTCCAGCTACATTGTGATTCCATGAGTCAAATTGAGGGTCATGCAGCTCACCTAGCTCTGGTTTGACAGTGGAAACATTCAAACATTAACGGTTATAAACATTCGATTGAATTTGACAATATGGTGCAGACTCGACTATTTACAGACCGCCGCCATATAGCTTGAATGTTGCTGAGTGTGGTGTATAACTCACACACTCACCCACTCACTCATTCACTCACTCACTCACTTTTATCAGCAATAAAGACGTTGCCATGTTGTCCTTATACCAAACAGTAGCAACAACCAATCAGGTGGGAGGTTCCAGAGAATATGCTCACCTGCATCTTCTCGTACGGGTATAAAAAGTCATACCTTGGTAGTGTTGATAATACTGACTGCCACTAGTTTGCCTGTGCATGTGCACACTTTGCAGCGACATTGCTGGAATATTTCCAACAGTTTGACATTAATACTGAGATGATTTGTTACAGAATCTGCTGTTCTGCCAGACCTGCCCTGCCCCAGCCCCCAGCTGTTTGACTACATGCTGAAACAGATGAAACAACATGAGATGAGGGTGTTCAAGATGGTCCCTGCTGTTGATGCTGACCTTGACCCAGTAAGTAACATCAGTCACTATGTCACTGCATGGTTTCAGCTCATCTTTCTTTCCTTCTGTCTGCCCATCCTTCTGGATGATTAAAAGTTAAGTAAGTTCATGGCAAAAACAAAAAAAAACCAAATCTTTCAGTATTCTCATCTCCTCTTCAATCCTTTTCTTTTAGGATTTCAATTCAGGGGAAGGTAGCACTATTTTGCGATAGTGAAACAGTGACAAGATTTAAAGTTATTGAAGCTGCCATTGTCATATTGACTCTTCCTCTGGATATTCCCCCTCAATCAATCTGTTTTAGTATAAAAAATAAGGAGATAATAATAATAATAAGCAGATAATAAAATAAGCAGTTTGGATCCATTGGGAATTATTATCTCAGGACAAATTATAAATGATGACCTTATTTCTCTCCTTGCTACTGTTTATGGTATTAGTCACCCGTTCATGCTTCTGAATTTGCCGCCATTTATCATCCGTCCGTTTATCATTCTTACATATTACCATCATCAGCTCCTACGGCCAGTTCTGTTGTCCACTTGGCAGTCCATCCATCATTTTATAATCTTCTGACCATCCATCAGTGCATCCAACCATCCTTTCACTCCTCAGTCCATGTCTGCGTTCATCCTTCCACTTATTAGTCCATTGTTTCTTCATTCTTTCACCCCACAGTTTGTCATTCATTCTCAGTCACTCTTAGTTACTATCCTTCATCTGTCCTTCCAAACATTAGTCCATTAGCTATGCTGTTGCTCACTATTCTTCCTTCCTAATTTCCTTCCTTCTTCCTTTCCTCCTCCCTCCTTTTCTCCTTTCTTCCTCCCTCCTCCCTTTCTCTTTCCATCCCTCCTTTTCTTCTTCCCTCCTCCCTTTCTCCTCCTTCCTTCCTTCCATGTTCAAACACTGACACTACTACTACTCATTTCATCGTTTCCCTCCCTCCCCTAATCCAGGAGTACATCTTTGTGAAGGCAGATGAGTTTGCTCTTGTCCGACACAAGAAGCTAAAGCGTGACACGACGGATGTGACAGGAATGGAGGCGTCAGATGAGTACGATGTGGGACTGGTCATCATCCATGACAACCCCCGGGGCCTCCTACAACCCGAGGGGGAGCTGATGGTTCTCAAACTCAAGTTCTTTGTTGTACTGACTCGACGCAAGGATTGCTTCCCCTTGAGGTCTCTGGATAAGAAGATCGGAGAGTTCAGATCAGCAGCAACCAAAACAGCATTAGGTGCGATTACAGTCTAGCTATTTCTTGCACTGTTACGAACAATGATATGATAGACCAGTCTACAGCAAACAACGGCATCTGTGTCTTGGGTAGAAAAATGTGTATTTTGTGGGGATCAGCATTCGCTTAGGTCCTCAAATGCTAGTGGATCATTACTCATGTTGGTGTGGATCATTGTGAATGCACGTGTGGATCATTACATGATTTCACTCACATGTCTGCTGGTCTAGACTCAGTAACTGCTTTCACATGGGTGAAACATCCCGTGTGTCATGAATGGTCAGTCAGATGTTTCACATCACAATATCCAGGAAAGTATGTATACATTTTCATTCTTTAGAATTGTTGGTAGGCATATACACTTGAACATTAAAAATGGTATTTACTGTTACTAAAATTGTGAAGAATATATGTTAAATTTTGCCTAGCAGTATTTAACGAAATCAAATCTTTAAAAAACTTACCATGGTGTGACCTCGACTGCCCAGATTTCTATTTGTGGTTATACACATTGGTTTCACCAAAGTCGGAAACTGCAGTTTGTTGGCGCATTAAAGCCAGACCGTGTACTGAATACTGAGCGTGTCCCCTGTGTAGGAATGTTGGACACCCTGACCACAGCATCAGACGAGGAGGCCAGCCGGCCAGTATCGGTCAAGCAGCATCTGAGTGTACGTCAGGAGAAGGTCAACTACCTGGGGTATTCCAACGTCCACCAGACCCCCATCTACGACCTGTTGGTGAAGGAGGTGCAGGCAGGGAGGTAGGTTGTTTGATCAACATTCCAGTAGTTGGTGAGTAGGTTATGGAGCATACGACTTTATAGATAACAACTTCTTGTTTGTTGCATAGAATGACATTTTGGTTTAGATTCTTACACCAAGATCAAGCTGAAGTGGCTACAAGCAACTGATGAGAGGTATGTATAGTCTGGCAGAAAACTTTTGTAACGGTGCTTGGTTATTTTACTAAAAAAGTACATATTGACACAGTTCACTATTTGTTACACCAAAGAGCTGAAGGTCGCGTGTTCGATCCCCGACTGAGTCAAACCAAAGACTTTAAAATATGGTACTTGTTGGTCCCTGCCTGGCGCTCAGCATTAATGGGTACAACAAGGACTTGTCGGCTTGGAGTCAGTATAATGTGTCTGAGTGGGGTATTCATGCTTCACTGCAGCGTGGTATCTCAGTGGGCTAGCACTATAAAACCAGCTTCAGTCTGGGCTAGTACAATCAGCCGCACATACACATACACACGCATGCACATCGTCATATGAGCGAAATATTCTCCAGCGTGACGTTAAACCCAATTTCACCTCACCTCACTATTTGTTACAAGGGAGGAGTGCAGAGAGAGAAACAGCCAGGTGTGCTATTGATTCATTTACCTGTGCTGAGCCTTTCTGCCACACCTGCTGTTCCTCTCTCTGCACTCCACCCTCGTAACAAATAGTGAACTGTGTCAATATTTTAATGATAGTTTGTTAAACAACATTTTTATTATTAAATCATAATTCATGAAATTGACAATTCACAATGGTAGAACAATGATTATGCATCATGCCAAATTTGAAAACGATTTTACTTGTAGTTTTGAGTAAAATGACCAAACACTGTCACAAAAGTTTTCTGCCTGACTATATGTATAGCATGTTGTGACAAGCTGCAGGTTAACAATGACAACTAAAGGTAATTGATAACTAGTAGCACCTGATTGGATGGGGCCAGGTGGAGAAGTTGTTATCCGCACAATGTTATTGGGTACTTCGTAAGGGATGTAGGCAATGACAGAGTAAACTACATGCTCCTTTCCTCGTAGCTTCCTTGATCTTGTAGTGATACCTTGTTTCCATTATAAGCAGAAAATGCCCTAGAGATGCAATAATAATAAAGTGTGAGGATGTCCTTTATTGATTGTCCAGAAGGTTCAAGTAATTATAATGAAAGTGAGTGAGTTAATATTTAACATCACATTGGCAATATTTCAGCCATATCATGACGAGAACATATTTGACATGGAAATGGAATATATGTATATTATAAAAATCTGTCGACGAAGGACAATAAAACAACTAGAATATCACAATCACAACTAAAACTAGTGTGGAAAGTTAAAACTGATAGCACTATTTGGACAATACAATGTAAATACAGGCTATAGATCGCCAACAACTGAAGGTAGATCACCAAACTAGGGACCATGGGGACTTACAGTGCCTTTGCTACCTGCATGGACCCTAGTTGGATTTACACCATCACTTCAGCTGCTGGCGATTGTAGGACAAGTTTACCCAACAGTTTAAAATAACAAAAATACTGCCTTTAAAAATCTGGTAAGTTTAAATTTAACATTGAAAGTTTTTGGACTTATGTATCCTCTCAGGAGGATTATAATGAAAGGCATGAAGTCATATCACTGAGGAAGTGGAAACATAGGTCTGTAGAACCTGAATATTCACAGTTTCTCTATAATGCATCATGATTGTACAACTTCTTGTCATGCTAATGCCCACCAAACTGTCAGATAGCAAACTCTTGCAAACTGATTTTTTAGACTTGAATATGGATAAGCTATGTGTGATGTTGGAATAAGTTTAACTGTATCTGACAGAGACAAGATTGCAGAGATGGTGGAGCTGTCGAAGGTGAAGTGTCGCCGGGATTATCTTTGGAACCGGATGAAGGTTATGGACGAGGACACTCGCAAGAAGAAACGCAGCGAGACTGACGAGAGCAGAGACCTGGTCAGTCATTGGTGTTTGAGTCATTGGAAAAGTAACTGGTCTGGTATAGTCGTTTTGTGAATAGTTGGTCAGTTGGTCATCAGTTATTGGTATAGCCAGATTGTGTTATGCATTGATGTTGTGTCATATAAGCAGGTCTGATGTATGTATTATGCTATGTGTCTACAGAATCTGGCCCGACTCTGCTTTGAGGAGTACTTGGAGCTCCTAGGGATGGTGACCCGGACACCCCTGGACGAGGTTGATCCCCAGCTCACCCCCTTCCTTAACATGCCCCTACAGTGGTACACCCTGCTGTTTGACGTTCTCATCAACAAATACCCCGACACCCACCGCAGCTTTGTCAGTGGCGACGGCCAACAGAGACACGTTGTGAGTAGACATGACATGGCCAACAGATACATTGTGTGTACAAGTGTGTGGTAGCATCCAACAGATACATTGTGTGTACAGGTGTGTGGTAGCAGCCAACAGATGCATTGTGTGTACAAGTGTGTGGAAGCAGCCACAGAGAGTTGAGTTGGTCCTTTTGTTTGCTGTACATATCATCTACACAGTAACCACCAACCCTGCTCCAATAAGTAAAACATGCATATACATGTATTTTTTTCACTATTTTTGTGATTTCAAGAAGAAAAACAAGGAATGATTTACTTTGGCCATATGTACATGTTTTCTTCTTTCAGCTAATACTCAATCCCAACAACCTGGATATGTTCATGATGACCTCCGTTGACTACAAGGCTAACAGAGGGGTGAGTAGTGTCTTTTGTTATGATCTCTGTTCACTGCAAGGCTTACAGATCATTTGATAGGTAGGGTCTTCTGCCGTGACCTCCAGTGATTATAAGGCCTCCTGATGTCTCCATCCCTCTCCTAATGTCTCCCCTCCTCTCCTACAGGAGCTGTGTATTCTCCACCTAATGTCTCCATCCCTCTCCTAATGTCTCCCTTCCTCTCCTACAGGAGCTGTGTATTGTGCACGTCATGTCTCCATCTCTTTCCTACAGGAGCTGTGTATTGTCCACCTAATGTCTCCATCTCTCTCCTACAGGAGCTGTGTATTGTCCACCTAATGTCTCCATCTCTCTCCTACAGGAGCTGTGTATTGTCTACCTAATGTCTCCATCTCTCTCCTACAGGAGCTGTGTATTGTCCACCTAATGTCTCCATCTCTCTCCTACAGGAGCTGTGTATTCTCCACCTAATGTCTCCATCTCTCTCCTACAGGAGCTGTGTATTGTCCACCTAATGTCTCCATCTCTCTCCTACAGGAGCTGTGTATTGTCCACCTAATGTCTCCATCTCTCTCCTACAGGAGCTGTGTATTGTCTACCTAATGTCTCCATCTCTCTCCTACAGGAGCTGTGTATTGTGCACCTCATGTCTCCATCTCTCTCCTACAGGAGCTGTGTATTGTGCACGTCATGTCTCCATCTCTCTCCTACAGGAGCTGTGTATTGTCCACCTGGAGCCGCAGCTTGACCAGGAACACACACCAACCAACCCCAACCTACCAGTGTTCACAACACAGTCTCACATCGAAGACTTTGTCAATGCTTGTATATTCCACACATGGACATACATGCTGCAATAGACATCGATCCATCTGTGTTGTCAACAAGTCTTCCACATGCTGCAGGATGTAGACAGCTATGGCAGGCAGCCTGGTGTTGATTCATCAGACTCCTAGAACCAAGTGATCCATGCTGTCACTGGACCATCACGGACCCTCCACAGTTCCTAGTGCTAAATCTCTTAAGTGGACATACACTGTGACTTTCATGCTGTACATATAAGTAATGGAATCTATACAATAATGTTTGATATTGGTTTGTGCAAGGTGAAAGTGACAGCAACTGAGTTGTAATATAGAGGCATTGTAAAAATTTTATACCATAGTCTTTCAATATTAAATCTCTTCGCTACAGTGTTGTACATATACTAAGACATTGTCTTAAACTAAATTTTCAAAGTATTGTACGTCTAAAGATTTTTGTGTGGAATATAGTTATGTTAGTCTGAAAACTCTTTAAACTGATTTAGTCAGCTTAAAGTGTTCATGATATCAGGGCTGTCATAATTCCATTGTTTAAGAAAACGAAGGAGCTGACTGAATCATGGCATTCTGATCAGATTCTTGATGCTTGTATTGTTATAGTGTTTTCCTTCGTAACGGTAGGTTTGCAGGATTGTCGTGACAGTTTTGCTTGTATCCATCTACTTATTTTGCTAATGTGTTTGAATGATAATATTTGAAAAATAAGTAGGTGCACAATATACAGTTCATAGAGGGGAGGCCGGTCAGTGGACGTACTGAATGTCTCTGTTGGAGGTGAGAATGGTGAATGTTTCTCTCTCAGGTGAGAATATTGAATGTCTCTGTTGGAGGTGAGAGTGTTCATGTTGAATGTCTCTGTTGGACATGAGAGTGTTCATGTTGAATGTCTCTGTTGGAGGTGAGAGTGTTCATGTTGAATGTCTCTGTTAGAGGTGAGAGTGTTCATGTTGAATGTCTGTTGGAGGTGAGAGTGTTCATGTTGAATGTCTGTTGGAGGTGAGAGTGTTCATGTTGAATGTCTCTGTTGGAGGTGAGAGTCCATGTTGAATGTCTCTGTTGGAGGTGAGAGTATTCATGTTGAATGTCTCTGATGGAGGTGAGAGTGTTCATGTTGAATGTCTCTGTTTGAGGTGAGTGTGTTCATGTTGAATGTCTCTGTTGGAGGTGAAAGTGTTCATGTTGAATGTGTCTGTTGGAGGTGAGAGTGTTCATGCTGAATGTCTCTGTTGGAGGTGAGAGTGTTCATGCTGAATGTCTCTGTTGGAGGTGAAAGTGTTCATGATGAATGTCTCTGTTGGAGGTGAGAGTGTTCATGTTGAATGTCTCTGTTGGAGGTGAGAGTCCATGTTGAATGTCTCTGTTGGAGGTGAGAGTATTCATGTTGAATGTCTCTGATGGAGGTGAGAGTGTTCATGTTGAATGTCTCTGTTGGAGGTGAGAGTGTTCATGTTGAATGTCTCAGTTGGAGGTGAGAGTGTTCATGTTGAATGTCTCAGTTGGAGGTGAGAGTGTTCATGTTGAATGTCTCAGTTGGAGGTGAGAGTGTTCATGTTGAATGTCTCTGTTGGAGGTCAGTGTTTATGTTGAATGTCTCTGTTGGAGGTGAGAGTGTTCATGTTGAATGTCTCAGTTGGAGGTGAGAGTGTTCATGTTGAATGTCTCTGTTAGAGGTGAGAGTGTTCATGTTCAATGTCTCCATTCTGAGGGAGTGACTGTGCTTGAGACAGTAACATGTGCTTGAAAAGGTTTTTAGGAGAGATATCTGTTTCAAACGAGTTGAATGTCAACTATCTAGTCATTAAGTCAGTATTTACATAGTGACTTTGTTTGGTCAGTTTGGTTGAAGGCTTCTGTAAGTTCCATCACAGCATGTCAGCTGGAACCAATGAGCTGGGCTCTAACATACCAACAGTCAGAATTGGGATTCAACCTGATGACCAGCATGATCCTGGCATGTGTAAGGGAAGCAACTCTGTATTGGTTGCTGCCCCTTTTTCACAAGGCCACCAGTCTAAATCACTTGTATGAATGGTGAGCACAAATTGACATACAATGAGTATTAGATTTTTATTTGTGTATTTGACACTAGTATTTGAGTATGAATGTCAGTAAAACTATTGTATATAGTGATTAGTGCTCAGACTTATGTGTTTTGCTCATGTATTCCCCTCATATTTTATGCTGCATTATTGAGTACTGGTATAATTTCCAGTATAGTCCTGACTATACTACCTACAGAAAGTAAGGGAATGCATGTAGTGTTGAATATGTTTGTGTTTAGTTTTAGTTATGTTGGACCCTAAAATTGTGTTCTATTCTTGACAAGCATTGTTTTAGATTATTGCATCCCATTTGCAATAAGAATGGATTAAAATATTGACTATACTTACAATTGTATACCAAAGAGTATAGATGTTGAAATGTTTGGAGTGAATTAGGGTAATAGAGATTACTACTGTCCATCAGATACCAGTTGTCTTACAGGATGAATTGACAGAGGTGAGTGTGTTCTATCATCACTGGTGTACCTGACCCAGACCTAATTACTTCCAGATATCTGTGACGTAAAACAACATTCATACATTTTGTCTTGAAACCTTGTCTTTGTGTGATGACTTGGCTGTGGGGGTGATCAGTAACTGTTGGACTATTACACCTTATGCCGAGTAAGCTGGTGAACATTGCAGTGTAGGTACAAGGGTTTGTTCATACAGATGTACTGGATCATGTCACACATACAAAACTTGCAAATGGGAGAAAAGGGGGCTAGTTATCAACCGTTTGAACTTTTCTGACAAATTTCACACCTGAATGTAAATGTTTTTGTAATTTTAAAATTTGTCAGTTTAAGTGGGCCAGAAAAGGTGCCTCCCCTACCTCCCCTGAGTCAAGAATCCCTGTTAAGATGAAGCAGCACCAATTATTGTCAACAGGCGACAATAAGACGACCTGGTGATAATCTTTTACTGTTCATCATTGTCTCATTATTTATGGGTTGTTTTTACAAGTTTAATGCTCAAGAATAGCGTGTGTAGTTACAGTGAAAATGCCAGTAGTTTCAGTATATCATGTTCAACTGAGTTCAACTGATTTCGAATAGTGCTATGACCAGAGCCATTGACTCTGTATGATGTGTTCATTCATATAGTAGTCTACATCTCACGAGTGTGTACATATCTGTATATAATTAATGAAATCATATCAACAAGAGGCTCATATGCTCACCTGAATTTCTTGTAGCTATCACTAGAGGAAAACAAGCTAGTTTTGCCATTTCCCTTTATTAGAGTCCAGACTTCCATTACAAGCCATCCTCATATATGCGGTGTCCAAACCTCAGTAGCCGGGCATCAATAAGATGGCAGGTCCTTCATTTATGGATGCCCAAGATGACACTTCTAGAAGACATACTGTACTGTGATATGCTGGTGATTAATAATAACCATTACTAGCAAATACTCTTTGTATGACTCTAGAAATTGGGATTCAGTAAGGTAAAGCCAATGTGCCTGCTTTTCACAGATGGAACCTGGTCAACAGCTTGCAGGAAATGATTAGACACTAAATCTTTCTGGTACTTTTGGGTTGAGTCCCATACGGGATTTGAACCCACACTCTCAGAGCCAGGTATTCCAACACGGTCTATACAATGCATCAGTACTTTTAGAAAATACTCCCAAAATATTTGATACAAGTCATAGCTGACGCAATATGTTGTCAAATAAGTGAACTCCAGTAAATACGATAAGCATGCAGTCTGTCAGATACAACAGAGGACAATATCGTAAGATGTGCATTCACAGCCCTTTCTTAATTTTGAATTATTTCACTGACAAAATAATTTTCATGACTCACAAATTTAGAAAATGACTCCCAAAAACATTTACTGTGAGTCGCCATGATCATGGTAGAATCCTATTCTAGTCATGACAATATGAGGACCCCATATCTTTGATCCTACACAATAAACCTGTATCATCGCTGTGTCTTAGTACCCGTGAAGGTCCGGGTTAGAATGTACATTCAGTAACCCAGGCTTGTTGTAAGAGGCGACTAACGGGATCGGGTGGTCAGGCTCGCTGACTGGGTTGACACATGTCATCGCTCATCCCAATTGCGTAGATCGATGTTCCCTGGATTGTCTGGTCAAGGTCCTATTATTTACAAAGATAGGTGGAATATTAATGAAAACTCAACTCACTCACTGTGTCTTAGTAGAGATACAAGGGGATGATATATGGCTTGATCAAACTAAATTTTCTTTCAGATTGTAATGAACAACACAATGATACAGGGATATTATTCAGTAAATGAGCTTGAGATTTTCAAAATCATTTTTAGAAATTTTTTAATGCATTTTTCCTTCTACAATGAGATACCTAGTCGACATTTTTCTTGCATGTACATAATTTTAACATATGCAAGCATGCAGATAAGCACTTTTGTAAGTCATGCTTTTATATATTTCAAATGAACTCATATTTTCAGATTTCAGATAATTTTTGGTTCTCATGTAAACTGGGTTTACCAAATGTATTTTGAACCCTGGTATAACATTCTGGGCAAAGGCAATTGATTTCTTCTTTTGTCTTCTATACAGGATTTCATATGAAATGTGTTTAATCATAATAGGGTGTTTGTGAAGGCTGGCATACTGTCCTTCCGATGTTGATATATTTGGGGGTGTATTTAAGGAATGTGTTGGGTGATGATGAGCCACCAGGTTGAGATTCTTGCCTCAGTTTATTTTTTGCTTTGGTTTATGATGTCAGGAGGTACTAATATACTCAACAGCAAAAATAACATGTCTGTCCTTTTTTCGTCTTGCTATCATATTTTTTTAATCTCAAACTTTCAATTGTAGTGTATGGAAGGCATACTCTACTTTATTGAAACATTTACTTTAAACAATAGTCACACACTAAGGAAAATAGAAAATAGAAAATTTCATTTTAAGACTTCTTATTGTGATTTCAATAAAAACCTGACTTTGAAGAAGAAAGGAAATATGAGGTGTTACTTTCTGTTTGAATGTAACATGAGTTTAAATGTTTACCTGGTATTAGTGATATCGCAGCCATTATCAAAATTATATCAATTAATGTTTGTGATACTTTATTATGTTTAAAGGCAGAAATCCATCTTTTAATCTCCATTTTTCACTCAACTTGATGCAATAAATCTAGTGATGACTTCTTGGCTGCTCTTCCAGTCAAATACCAGTCATCATGATGAGTAGATATCTTCAAAGGATATTTGGGGTATATGGACGTAGTTTTCCCCCAGAAATTAATGAGGATTTGATGTTTGCTTTTTGTCCTCGAGTATGATCTTCAGAAGCTGCTCACATTGTGTGATGGGTGTATGTTCTGTAAATGCTTTATTCCTTTCACATGCCTCCTGATCAGATGTCGCCTAGAGTAGCCAGACTCTGACTGGGTACTTCCTGATCTTGTGCTGGACAGTTTTGTAGAATCATGACTAGTTAATTTCTTGAATGTGATCAGATCAACTGTAATTGCTTTGACTTGTGTTGAACACATGTACTTTATACATGTCTTTTGTAAATAAACTATGAATTCTTCCTGTGCACTGTCTGTATGTGGTGTTCGGGGTCAACCTGGACTTCTGGATCAAGGTCAAGCTTAGTGAATATTGTCCTTGGCAAGGACAGGACATGAGCTCAAGACTTGGCTGACACATGCCATCATATCCCAATTGCGTGGATCGATGCTCATGATGTTGATCACTGGATTGTCTTGTCCAGACTCGATTATTTACTGACCGCCGCCATATAGCTGGAATATTGCTGAGTGCGGCATTATACAGCAAGCAAACAAACAAACAAACAAACCAGACATGAGTTTCACATGATACCCATGAGGAGAGTCCAACCAACCAACCAAGATACCAACATTGTAACACTAGGTTCCTATTTCCATTAATAAAGTGAGAAGTGATAGCAGGGAGCAGAACACAGCATCATCGAGGTAGTTATGAAGGCAACAAAGTTATAGATGGGTAATCAGAGGTTTCAAATCACATAAATCCTGTAGAATGCAAGACAAGCAGAGGTTTCAAATCATCCAAATCCTGTAGAATGCAAGACAAAACGAGCAAGGAATATGTTAATATAATGCATATTTATTGCTTGAGACATCAAGATGATTATATGTGTAATGTAACACATCCAGATCTGAATGATATGTTTTCACAGTATGGTGTATACATGTAATATCTGGGTATTGGCAACTCATTGCACGGTCATATAGAAGTATGTACAGTCTAAGCTTGGTAAGGCACGCTAGGGATATTGTCATATCGAAGTACTTTCCTTCAATAACTCCACGGGTCACAGTCAGGAAACAACGTGAGATGGAAACAATATATTTATGTACATCAGTTTAAACTTGTTTGGCACCTGTTCTACTGGAGTTTTATTCTCATGATAGTTCTTGATTAAAGACAGCTTTTAAGAATTTTTGTTGACATTTCAAACACAAATATGTTCTCTTGATTTGTACATAGGATGTCCCTATTACCAGTAGTACTGAAAAATGAATCTGTCCATATCTAATTTTAGATATCATTCACATTGTGAATATATGTCAAATCTGATTGTAACCTTTCTCTTACAAATGTAACCTTTCTCTTACAAATGATTACACATGTTGCATAGGTGTATATATGTTGTTACACATGTGGAGATACTCAGGAAAATGGCTGCATTTTTCTGTATACATTTCTACATTATTCAGACCTCTACAAAAGCTATAAAAAGGTTCCAGATATTTAATTACCTTAATAAACACAAGCGCACTAGGGAATATTGGTCTTGGTATAATATTTCAAATTTTAAAAAACATATTAAACTTATGCACAAATTGTCCAGGCATGTGTAAAGGTATTACAATGACTGCCAGGTTACAAGGCTGCATCTGCATAGTCGGACATGCACACTGCTATGTACATGTAATGGAATGTAATTGACGCCACTGTCTCTGTATAACAGGATAACAAACATATGCAATGCACACAATCAATTTGAAATGTACAAGTAAATGCTCAATCTGGCAAGCTGATGATTAATCTAATCATGTTACGACAACACTTAAACCACAACATACAGGCAGGATGGAATTGGATTTGGTATTAATCAAATACAACATGGATGAAAATTTGATAACTTTATCTGTAACAAATATGTCTATATCTGACAAAACAATATGTAAATATTTACTGGGATACTTTCTGGATTAGTATCAGTAGTATCTCTCTCACTTTTTAATTGAATATGTAACATGAATAAAACCGACATCTCTAACAAAATCAATTCTTGAAATGTTCATGTTGATTTCCATAAATACAAATAACCATGAAATTAAATTCAAAGAATTATTTTAAACAGTGTCATGTTCAAACAGTGGACATGTTAGTATGGTCGTACAAACATTTATTCCCCTATCAGCATCATGTTGCTTTGAGACACCACGTGACATAGGCACCTCTTGGCACTTGTCAGGATTGTGGGGAGTTTCAGTTATATGTCTCATATACCACAAAATATGTGCAGTTGCCAAGGTGGAGGTGAATAAATATATAACATTTCGGTACAGTACAGCCTGCACCGGCTTGGCAAAAGGTATATTTCAATAGTATGGTAGGTGCATTGAAAAACATTTTCAGATTCAAAATCGAAATGAGCTAGATGAAACTGTCTCCCATTTCAAAATGTAGACACCTTCCTTGATCTGACACCAGGTGTTGTGGAAGACATAGCATAAACTGCTGATGATTCCTGACTGAACCTCAGTTGATGACAAAATGTATGTAATAACACAGGTGATTTTTACTTATTCTTCTAGTATAACAAGGAAAAATATAATGTGCTTTGGATGTGATTAACATTGGTATAAATAGTTGAGTGGCCGCCAGTATGTTGTACAGAATGTAGGGCAATGGTGTGGGTAAACAGGCACAGGGTCATCATGTACAATTTATCACATTCAACGGCTGTAGTAACTTGTTCAGATTCAACATCATACATAAACTTGTATGTATATATTTGTTCCTTGTATACAAACAATAAACACTGTATCCCAATCAAATACTGCTGACTCTGCGTACATACACACAATATGAGCATTGCACATTATAGCCTGACTTTCTCTTTTTCCCTTACAGGTTGAAGCCTTCAGAGTTAACTTGACCAAAATGGATGTTACTAGACTCAGGCTTCAGACCAGGCCCTGTTTCACAGAGCGATCGTAGTGCTAAGGTGATCGTAACTCCCAGACTTTAACAGACTTACGACAGTCGTAGCGCTATGATCGCTTTGTGAAATGGGCCCCAGTGGCTAAAGTTCCAAATTGTAATTTGGATATTTCTAGTTTTTTAGTACACTACATTCAGGTGTTTTACAATGTTCACATATATGAGATTGTCAGGGAAGTATGTGCAAAGCTAGTCATTTTCCACGTACTGGTCTACAGGTGCATTGGGATACAACATTTCCAAGTCTGTCAGCGATGCTTCAGAGATGGACAAACATGTACATTACATATAGGTGAATGTACCACCTATTACACTCACAGAATATATTATTGGCCTTTACATACAAAGCAAGCCTGTCACGCTATCTACAGTGATATGTACATTTGTTCATGTTAGACAGCTGTGATGCTCACCGCGATGCAGCATGACAAGTATTTTGATTGACGGACATACACTGTCTGTATAATGAAATATATATGCTTTTGGCAAAGTTTGTACATTTCAGATCCCAGTCTTCCAAGAAGGTCCCCTACAGTTTCATACATACTCTGAATACATGCATCTTAATCTACACCCATAGCTGCACCAGGCACCACACTGACACCATCGTCAGTGTCTGCAACATCACCGTATGTACAAGCTGCTACTGTCTAGCTTCAGGCTATAGCACCATGGAGCACTGTTTGGAAGGGAATATGGTACAAAGATGAGAGGGCTTCTTTGAGAGGCATTTTAGAGAGCTGTTGATGTGCCTCGTTTAACTCAACAGTGAAAAGTTTTCGAAATTTTTATCAGGATCATATTAATTTTTTAGACATATATTTCAAGTTGACACCCTTAACTTCATTATGATTTCTCAACAAATCTGTCGGGATATTTTAATCTGTTTTAACAGATTATCTTAGAAATTGGAATAATATTTCTCAATCTTTGATTTCCACCATCATGGTCCTTTCCCCAATACTAATACTCTCCATAATTATGATTGATTACTCCTAGATAGTTCATGTTTTGTTCAGCTATTGTTCAGCTATTGTTCAGGTATATTGTTCAGTTGTTACACATCTGTTCCCATTGAGCAGCTACGTTGCCTTTCTTGTTGGAGGCTTGTTCTCCGTCAGACTTTCCATTTGGAGTTGCCTCCCTTGGACTGTTGGGTTCCTTCTCGTCACCTGGTGTGGCTCTCTGTTTCCTGAAATACAAGATATGTTTGTTAAGGATATGGGGTTATCATGTATCTGGGGCAAAAACATAGAAATGTCTGTCATGTTTTCATGGCATCACATAAGAATACAAAAATTAATAAAACCCAAGACAAAAATGTTCAAAACTACAACTGCTGCTAAATGTATAACAGTCTAAAGATGTGATGTGTCCAAATAAAAAAATGCAACTACAAGCCTAAGGAAAATTCATTCACTCACTATCTCACACTCTCATTCACTCACTATCTCACACTCATTCAAGACTGAAAGTGTCAGTGCATGTATCAGGCAAAGCATATTTCCTTACTTCAAAAGTCAAAATTCAAAAGCAGCCAGTATCCTGGAGTATATAACTGGCAGGGGCATTTAGTGGTGTCAGTAACAAGCATACAGGCATATAACAGAAGTTTTGATAAGTTGTGAACTTCATGCCATGCAAAACTAAGTCTTTTTGTATCAGCAAGTTTGGTGCTACACTAAGGAAGATATCTGAAAGGAAAATCATGATCCCTAACTTTTTTGGTTCGGTACATCTTGCATATATTTCTCTCCTCACAAGAAATACTAATCTCTGATTTCTTTTCTTAAACAATTAAACTGTCATAAAGAGTGGAGGGCTCCAGGGAATGGCAATGTTGAACAACATACCCAATGAATTGTACCTGTTTTGAGAAGTAGAATCTTTAACCACTAGGCTACCCAACTGGCCATACTCTCAAATTAACAGACCAAGGTCAACCCTGGCAGCAAATTCTTTATGAAAATGGCTGGACTTCCATTCCATATTATAAAGCTCTGTGACATGTAAGAGTCAACAAACTCATGTCTTCCCAATTACATCCAACATACATTTAATAGCCTTCCACAACAGCTTCATAAGCCTTCATATCAACCATGTTTTGTCAATGAGTTTTTCTCCACTTTCTCCAATATATTTGCTATGGTCTCATAACTCAACCTAAGTAAATATTGTGCCCTGCAGAAGAGGTTGTAATTGGTGACACGCCACTGTAGGTCGCCCTATGATGACCTGCTGTTGCGATACAAACAGGTTACCTTATATAGGCGTCAGAAGTTGCCAGACGGGATTCCTAATGTATGTGCACAGTAAGGCACAACAGTCCTGCTGGTGTACAATCATGTCTCCCTTTGAGAGGGAATATTTACAGTTTCCTGTGTACCTCTCCAGAGGCAGGTTATTGCTCATGTTAGCCAATCCTATGTATGCATAAGATTGGGTTTACAATGTGATCAGAGAATAAATTGAAAAGTGTCTAATCTTGCATGCTCTACATAAATATTGTTTAGTTTTCTTTAAAAAATCAATTTCTGAATAAAGTTTTAAGTGTTTGTGATAGGCCTCAGTAATCCATTCATTCAAAGGAAAATCTGCAGTGCTGCAGGAAATAAGTTTTTCTTTGATGAAGAAAAGCAGCTTTCAGTTTGACAGGTAGGTGGGGTAAGATGACACACTGTAAAGACACACTGTTAACTGTACTGGTATAAAGAAATGGGTGCATCTGTACCCCAGCCAGTGTGCGAAAAAGCCACTGGCCCGCTAGCCCGTGGCTAGTAAAAATCCAGTCGTACCAGTATATCTCCACTGGCCCGACTGGATTGTGAATTTTCAAGGGGTAATTTTGTAAATTAACACTCTCTCCGACTTGTTCAGTTATACACTTGTAAATCATGCAAGGTAAACGCCTGATATAAATGTTTATCATATTAGCAGCTTAATGAAAAAAGCCATGTCTACATTCAAATTTCAGGCTAGTGAATTATTTTGTGGGCTAGTAACTTTCAGGCATTATCACACTTATGAAACTATTCCGCAACCTGATCAAAATAAACCCTATCTCATCCAGTTCACAAGGTTCTGCAACTTAACTGACATACCTTAAGAGGGCCTCAATTGTAAAAAAACACCAAAAATACTGAGTTGCTGAGTGTCTGTGATATGAATACCATTCTATTTAATTGTACATTTCAAGTACATGTAATAATTATGAATAGTTCTTAAAATCCTCTTGTCACAAACTCCATTTTCATAGATTTCTAGAACAAACCAAACCTGAATTAGAAGAGGTTGCTATCTGATCTCTAAATACTTGTTCAAGTGATTTCCTGTCTTATCATCTACCAAAGATGTGACCTACCTCAGTTCATCCTCTCGCTCTCTCATTTCCCTAAGCTCTCTCTCGATCTTTGACTCGGCAGTATTCCGACTCTCCTTGTACGAAAACCCTGCTCCACCGGCAGACATCACCTTTCTTGACTTCAGAAGCTCTGCCTTGGGGGTTGTCTTCGTTTGGCTCACATTTGCAGCACTGTCCACTTCATCTGACTTTGTTGGGGTGTACCCCGCAGATGATTTCCTTGTCACAAAGTTCTTCTTCACATTAGCATTGGTAGTTTCCTGTCCCGTGACAGCCACGTACTTGAGTGGTTGGATATGTTCCTCAGACGTGGTGATGATCTTCCCCTCCTTGCGCAGATCCATCTCTCTCTGTTTCTGTTTGATGATCTCCTGCTGGAGTCTGTTGGAGGAGTAGCGCTTCATCGTGTTGTTGTTCTCCACAGGAGACCGGAAGTACCGAGGAGAGTGCTCCGGAGGTGACATGGACAGAGATGGAGGAGGACCACTTCTCTGCTCTGCTTTGGGATCAGGAAGATCAGGAAGACCTTTTGATCTTCTGAGTTCATTCTCTCGCTCACGGGCAAGACGAATCTCACGTTCAATTGGTGTTTCCGATTGGGGTTTGTATGAAAACTCATCCTCTTCCTGATTGTGTGCACCCAAATCAGTAGGTGATTTGCCAGTGCTGTGACTAGAAGCTAGTGAGTCTACAGAACCGCTACGTTTAGATTTTTGAAGGAAAGGTGAAACGTCTTTTTGCCATGTTCCCTGGCGTGCTGCAGGGGAAGAGTTTGAAACTTTGGGGGTTGTCTTAGATGCCGACGTTGGCTGTGATTGCTGCTGCTGTTGTTTTGCAGGTGTTGCAACATCACTCACTTGATTCAGTCTTGACCTCTGGTGTTGCAGTTCTTCCTCTCGTTCTCTTGCTTCCCTCAACTCCCGTGCTATAAGACTCTCACCCTCATGATTATAACCTGAAATTGCCTTCTCGTAAGACACACTCTTTGTCTGGTTGTGGTTAATATCGTTCTGTGGCTCGGCCTGTTTCTGATTCTGCTCAGGCTCTGCTGGGGATGCAGGTTCATCAGCTGTCTTGCCCTTCCTCTGTCGCTGAAGCTCTGCCTCCCTCTCACGCTGAATTCGGATCTCCTTCTCAATGATGCTCTCTTTCGTTTCCTCTGCTTCACCATTAGCTCTCGACTCCTGTAAAAACAAAACCTGGGTCAGTGTCTCCCAAATACAACATGACGTCTCTGAAGACAGGGTTAATCGATGGATATCATCTTCTGTATTCTTTCAATGTAACATTTCAGAACAAGTGTTAGTACCTTTATTGACCACATGCATGTGAACAAATATATTGCAATGAAAGGGTAAAGAAGTAGAAACCCTTCAGTAATCTGAATCCAATGATGCCACAGCTTTTAAAATGTCACTTCAGTATATCTCCAGGATGCTATAGTCATCAGCATGCTGTATACGGTATTATACATGAAAACCTACACATCTAATTGTTTCATAACATAACATATAACTCTCTGACTGACATCTTATCTTTCCTTACCATGAAATCTGGTTATTAATCACTAACGTCGGCTTGAAGAATAGTTGTAACAATGTCCGAACGCACAGAGTCCTCTGACCAGTACACCTAACCACTATCCTACACCTGCTTGACCTCACGACCTAAACACCTTAAAACTCTGAACACGACATCTGATCTAAATGCCACATTGATAACTTGCTCATTGATTAGATATTGACATCAGTGAAGACTCACAGACATCTGTCATGATAAAGGTTTATCTTGGTTAACAAATGGTAGAATAAACTTGGCCTGGATGTCCCAGTTTGCTGCGGACATTCCGACTTCCCTAGCGACCTGGCAGTGTAGACAGATGGAAGTGCCATGCTCCTCAACCGGAACATTGCAGGCAGCATGTCTGTCACCAGGGATGTGACGCAGCATTCAGGTTTAAACTTAATGCTTGCATATTTCAGTAGCATGCATGTGCCTGCATATTCAGTGACATGTGTGTCTGATGACTTGTCTACTATATACTGAACACTATAAGTTAGGGATTGTGAACAGATTGGGGGGAATATTTCTAAGAGATTTTGTGCTCAGTCATTACAAAAGACATCTTTCAAAATATTCTTGAACTTTTTCTTTTGTTTTATTAAACATTCATCTTCCTAATAATTTACAGATATTAAAAAATACTGAAAGGTAATGTGAGAGAGTGAATTTAGTTTTATGCCGCATTTAGCAATATTCCAGCAATATCACGGAGGGGGACACCAAAAATGGGCTTTATACATTGTACCCATGTAGGGAATCAAACCCAGATCATTGGTGTGATGAGCGAACACTTTAACCACTAGACTACCCCACTGCTCCCAGAACTGTAATATAATAGCACAGCATTTCTAAAAATAAGGAAAACAATCTCAAACAGAAAGCATTTGAAAAAAATTAATTATCTCAATTTTGTTCAATATTTTACAACTTTATCATGCTCATATCACCTGTACTTGTCATTACATGAAAACCCTGGTAGCATAATGCAGCCATGTCACCAGGCAGAGTAATGCTGCCAGTTCTGTAAGTTGTTTAATCCTTTAATTAGTCATCACTTCTCCACATACTTACTATGATCAACCTAAGAAAAGCAGATACAAAATGCCCACAAAACAAACCTGAACATTCCCTGTAAACATCAGTAATCCTAATATTCAACGCCATAACATTCACCAATAACATGATCGACACATTTTGTGAGTGTGAAAGACTGCACAAAGTACACTCGGTCTGCATTGTGATTCGAGTGTCCCTTCAAAATCCAGATCCCTTGGGTATTTGTCTATTGTTTAAACAACTTTTTCTATATTCCTGACGCCTGTTTCTTCAAAGTCTAGGATCATTAGTTGGGCTTTGTTGGCTAACTTCAAGCAACATCAAGGATATTTCACAAACAGGCGACAGCGGCCATGTTCTCTAGGATCTTCCATTATAATGAATTTACTCAAAGGTGTTACGCAGTTTGGCGTAATCTGTCAAATATTTTATCGTTTTCTAAATTTCCAGCAGACATTTTGGAGTCCTTTGACATACATCATGTTCTTTTGTAGCAACATATCAACTAGCCTTGGTTTTCTATTTCCAGAAATAAATGTGTTAGCTTTAAACAAGGACATGTGACCTCACAGCACCAGATACAAATATTGCATTACAAAGAAGCCTCCTTATACATCCTTCATCAAGCATAGCTGAAGGACTTTTAGGAAGATATGAATCACCTTTCAGATACCATCAGGTTATCACGTTTTGTTGTTATTTTCAAATATTAGAATAAACACTTATATTTGTTTTGCCAGAAATTTGTCAGATTTACCGAAGTATCCATTTGGGACAACAGTAAATATTTTGTACAATTTGGGATTTATTCAAATTTGTTTTTGATGAGTTCTGCAAAACTAACAACTCTGAAAACCTTCCTCTCTTGTTGTTGAGACAATCTAACATGTAGTTATTATAAAAACCAAAAGTTTGGAAACGTTTTGCTCATACATTTCCCATAGATTCTCAGGCCTATAGTCTACTAATGTGAACTTTAAAAATACCTTGTTATTTTTAACAAATCTAATGTCCATTTACATTGCAGTTTTAACATTAGAAGCTACCATGACATGGTGATCAAAACAATTTCTCATGTAGTTCAGAAAAGCCACTCACGTGGTTCATGGTGAATTTTTATCAGCATTCATGAACTGAGCCAAAAGGAAGATCAAAAGGAAGATTCAATATTACTAATTAAATGCCCACATGTGCATAAAGCTACTTCATTTGAAGAACATTTGATATTTACAGAAATCCACAAATATTTAGGTATGAAGAAAGTATAGGGTCTTTGATAAATATTAAATGAACTGAGCTGGTTTAAAAATTATCTTATCTTATCTCTTTCAACAATATGGTGTTATAGAAAAACACTTGCTTGATTAACATATGAAACATCACGGCATGAATAATGCTCCCTAATAAACTATAGCTCATTCAGCTTTCAGGTTAAGAAATGGGACACTATGCTTTCCAAATGGCAGTACAGGCTAATTTACAAGTGCTATTGTCACAATATAATCCTTGTTCTCTAATGAAAGAGACAGTTCGTCGGTGAGATGACAAACGTGCACCTTGGATATGGTTCCAGTTTTCACCCTTTTAAGGTCATCAAGAAACTACTGGGAGACCTTGTGTGATTGTTGTAGTTTTGGAAGCACAAATAAATCGTAGTCTCATGCATCAATTGACAGATTCTTTAAACATAATTCTAAGCATAAAGAAATAATTCATGCTCAGGAATTAATGACCAATAACTGAAGGCAGAGTGTTAATTATACTTTGGGAAAACATAAGACCACAAGAGTTAACTCTGAGTAAAACTTTATGTTTGTTCGGCGTTTAACGCCACACTCAGCAATATTCCAGCTATAATGGCAGATGTAAAAGTTGAATGATATCTATAAGTCTCTGAGAGCAAGAACATTAACAATCATTAAGACAAACAGTCTTAAAAATCAATCTATGTTCATGCTATAAACATGATACTGCCAAAATTGTGGTCAATTATTATACAATTTCAAAAACAAAAATATTTCAGTTTGGGTTTTTAAGAACTATCTCTGCATATGCTTTCACTGATTGTGTGAACATATATATTTTTTTAGAGTGAATTGGCTTAATGACTGAGGGCTGATTACCACTTCTGATTGCTGGACAGTATGGGAGATTCCCATGTAATTTTATCTTAACTAATTAGAAAACGGATATGGTTTGTGAATGTAACAACATCCCATATTGCTCACCTGTCCAGAATTCTCGACATGCTTGTTCTTCCTGAGAGCCCTCTCCTTCTCCTCTTGTTCCCGAAGCTCTTGCTGGATAATCGTCTCCCTCTTCCACATCTCTGAGCCACGGTCTGCTTCCGTCAACTCGTGAAACATGGGCTTTGTCTCATCATCCTTTGGCACACTTTCATAGATAGTTGTATCGACCTTGCCCTTCTCCCTGAGGAGTTTCCGTTCCTCCTGCTCCCTCCGGAGCGTCTCCTCTCGCTCCATGTTCAACCGAATCTCCCGTTCGATGGCACTTTCGTTAGCATACTTGTCCTGGGTGTCCTCCATATTGGTTAAGGAAGCGTCTACTTGATCAGCTTCTATGCTCACAGATTTCCGTTTATTTGGGAAATTCACCTCCCAGTGTCTAACAGTTGACTTCTTCCTGGATTCACTCTTTTCCGCAACAGGTGACAATATTGTCTCCCACTGATGTCTGGTTGACGACAAGTCCCGGATTGACTCCCGGTTGACTTCTTCTGTCGTGTCTGCTTCCTGCACAACGTTCTCACTGTACAGGTTCACTTTATCTGGCCGGCCTGTCCATCCGATGTCTGGATTCTGGTTCGGATTGTCCACTAACTCCCAATGATTCTCAATATTCGGATTAGTCCCCGATTCTGAATCTGAAACACAAAATAAACATTTGAGAACTCATAAAACAAACCAACCCCAGTAGAACAAGCTGTCAGTGGAGCTTACAAACCCAGCAAGGATGAGGATGGGTTGGGTTTTTCCATTTATCAAATTCCTTCTGTGGCATCTGACTAAACTAGCATCCTCCTGGTGAATCAAGTTCGTGGCTAAGACTGAACTGACATCACACAAGGCTGACAATTTGACAACTGATCATGACGGTAGCTCCAAAGGTCAGGCTAAACAAGCCAAGGATTTTAAAGCTTGAAATGTCAAAAAGTTGAAATGCGGAAGCTAAACAATTTTTTTCTGACACAACTTACTGTTAATGTCATTAGCACGTGTTAAGTCTGTGTCTACATTAAAAACTAAGTCTCACCACACTGAGAAGAAACTGCAAAAAGATGAGTAACACCGCAACGTTAAACACTTCCATACACAAGACTTGAATCAGCAATAACAACCCAGGCAACTACACCACATCAGCAGCCATGGTTACAATTACGCTATCAAATATAGATTTATCATATCAGCTTTTTGCAGACTGCTATACCTGTATGTTAACGAGAATAAAATGACTTTGAATAACATATCTATCACAAGCTGTCAATGCAGTAACATAATGGGAAGACCAGCAGTTGAAGGCCATTTCTCTGTTAAGAGTTACATCCCTTTGTGGAGACAGGATCCGTTGATCACTGGTTTGAACATACAATTGCCCTGACTATGACCTTCATCTGTCAGCACCATACCCATGTTTGTTTGTCTCACCAAAGTGGTACAAGTCCAAGAACCGCACAACTTTCTCTTCCCTCCGGAATCAAGCATACATGTGTTTGTTAAGTGTAAAATTGTCCAAAGTTGAGTTCGACTAAGCAACTTACATCAACTCATCAGAAGCGTGTAGTACCATTGCAATACACGTAAGACTGGAGGGAAATAATCTATGCTGCTGACTCACAGCCCATCTGTTAGGTAATACATTCCATTTCTGTCAGACTGATCTCATACAGACCCTATAATAGATAAGCAAGTACGACAACGTGATGATATCTCGGCCACTGATGAGGGAATCGTGCATTTGTCATACAATGCATGTACAAATGAATGTTCTTGATAATGTGTGATCACTCAGTCAACAGATAATATGACACTTCCACTAACAGGAGGCCCATGTGTAACACACAGGAGATTATTGTAAACAAGCAATTGATACTAATGGCAGTCAGAATACAATGAATAGTGAAGGCCATATTTGCAGACAATTTGCCAAATGAGTCTCCCATGGGTGCATATCAATATTTTCAGCTTTGGATTCATGTAAAAAATCAGTAATAATCATGCTAAATGCATTTGCCACATGATAATTGATAGATGATAGGTTTTGCCTTATTTGAATAGACAATTAAAAAGTCCATGTGTCTGCTTATGATTATATGGATATGATAGTGAGTGAGTGAGTGAGTTTGGTTTTACGCCGCTTTTAGCAATATTCCAGCAATATCACGGCAGGGGACACCAGAAATGAGCTTCACACATTGTACCCATGTGGGGAATCGAACCCGGGTCTTCGGCGTGACGAGCGAACGCTTTAACCATCAGGCTACCCCACCGCCCCTGGATATGATAATTTATGCATATAGAACATGTCAAATTCACGCCCAAATGTGCCCACTGAGCTACATTATTACCCTTGTCAGAGGGTCATTTGCCTTTTTGTCATTTTCAACTTCCTGGGGAGAATACCACCCAGGTTGCCTGGGAAGCACTAGAAGGTTAACATATTACCACTTCATCTTACCATTCACTGCTGGGTGAACAGAGGCACATTTCAAACAAAACCACTTTCCCAAGGAGTCACCACATCTGCTTAATGAACGAATGAGTGAGTGAGTATGGTTTTACTCTACTTTTAGCACTTGTAATATCAAGGCTGGGGACCCAGAAATGGACTTCCACCCATGTGTATTGAACCAAGGTTCTCTGTGTGACGAGTGAAAGTTCGATCCACTACACTACCCCACTGCCTTAATCAATGAACCTAAACCTGATGAAGTTATGACAGTTTACAAATTTTGTGAAGTGGAAGGCATAGCTTTGGTCTTTATCAAGAAACAAAGAATCAAGACAAATTTAATCCACAGTTAAATGCCCCTTGCACTCTAATGAGCAGATATCACATTAAATAATTCAAACCAAAATCAACAATACCCCAGTATACGAGTGGACTGTATTGTCAGCCATGAGTAATGCACCAGACTCCCCCTGTACGTGTAGCAGAAATTCTGTGGACGAAGCCTGAAAGTCCCGTCTGCTGCTCCCACACTGATGTATCATGACCATCAGGGAACCCATCCATCGTGATCCATTATTACATAATGATAGAGTAGATATCCAGGTGTCATCTCCAAATGTCTGGCATCTGAAGACCATATCTATGCCTGGCAGCAGTTGTCACACATACATGCCCCACAGGCACCGAGCAGCGACGACACACCCGAACAACTGTCAGTCAGTAGAAACAATAGTACATATGAACTAACTTGCTCAATTCTTAAAGTTTCCCTCAGTTCTATCAAGCACTTGTACTTGACAAAGTTCTTCTAAGAATTTGGAATCATCAACATTTGTCAGATCATACTGTCGTCTTATACATATATGATGTATGTACGAACCACGATAACTAGTTTCACAAGATGACCAGGAATAAATGAAATAGTTCAAGGTTGTTCTGTAAGATATGAAAGATCTCAGAAACAGGATATAAACTTAATAATTGTGACGATATTCACCTACTATCAGTTTATCTCTAATTTATAGCTGACAAACATGGATAAATCTCCCAGTGGAAGGAAATAGCACTGCCTACCCGCTAATGTCTGTTCCATGTACATGTGGAGTTAAAAATAATCTAGTTGCTAGTCAAGTGATCTCTGAATACTGCCATACAACTGCTTGGTAAAGGAACATGCCTCCCTCAGCCATACAAGGCCACCCTGCCACATGGACAGCCAGGTCTGTGTTACAGGGTTGGAATGTAGAGGCAACAACAGCATTACTCCATAATTATCACTCCACAGATTCCTTGGGAATTTCTGTTACATAATAGTCTATAGAAATGTGTGCTGGGGTAATAAATGAGATCACTGAAGTTTTTCTACAAGCTGTGACATACATACAGAAATGTTTAAAATACTTCAATGAAAGGCTGTCAGTTGATTTATGTTCTTTAATTATTATTTGGCAGGTGCTTTTATACATTTGGGTTGTGATGAAAGCTTTGACATGAGTCATGTCGTATTGAGCTGGCCATATTGTATCTCCAGGCTAGTGTTGGAGGGTACACACCCACACAGGGTACAGAGTGAGTATGGTGCTTGATCCATGTTGTAGTGCGTCATGTCATGACAGATACAGTAAAGAGCATGACACATTTCCAAATGTTGGACTTTAAACCATGACAGATATTGAAAAGGAAATATGACTGTAGTAAACTATAAATCTTATCTTACATGGCAATACAGGTCTCTCAATCACTGAAAACCAAAATGTTTCAAATATGTACATATCTATATCTCTCAAACATAACGTTTTCTCAGTTAACATCTGTTGTACATATCCTAGCCTATGTCTATCACTTGTGTACTTTGTTGTAAGATAAATTGTGTAAATCGGGAAAGGGCTTTTCTAAGTTGGATAACTTATGCCCAATACTTTTCTTGAATGAATAAAATATGTTTAAAACAAACAAACTTAAACGGTTTGCTTCCTTATATGTACAAACTATATGGGAAAGCTTAATATTTTTTCTGGTAAGAAAAAACATGAATTAAAGATATAAACAGACTTCAATGACATTTTACTATTTGACTGTCATTGAGGACTGTGTATTTTCAGGACCCTGGAAAATGACCGATGTAATTACCTACTTCCTGGTAGCCCATAATTAGCTGGACTACAAACCGACTCCAGACTTCTAGATGAAACAGTTAACTTGTCAATCATGGCCTTTGTATTTCAGAAACTGCTTGAGGAAGCTGTCATCTTACCACTCCCCATTGTACCAATATTCCCTTTCCCTTTGGAAAAATCTACATAAAAGGGCTTTCTCTATACAAATTACTTGTCAATGAGGAACTTCATTCATCCAAATGAATTCATTAAAACACTCCCATCCAGATGAATAGGATTTCATCTTAAAACAATAGGACATACTGCATTGAAATCAAATTCAAACTGAGAAATCGATGTTAATTCAAAATCTCTGGGGAACAGAAACATGAATAGAATTCTTCACACTGAAAGCATGAGAATTTGCAAGGTTCATCAGTATCAGTTACAGTACAAGAACTTCATCAGATTGCACCCTTCTCATGTTGACATGAGCTTGATGGGAACTCAACAGAACAGGGAGCAATATAAAGTGTGGATCTCTGCCACATGTGACCCAACAGGAGTATTATAGCAATAAGCTTCACTGATTCCTGGCTAAGAATGTGTATGTGTGACCAAGGTGTATACAGTCAGGCTATACACAGCACCATCTAAATCAATCTCAATCAGTTACGGGTCCATTACCCATTGTAGTCCTCGGGATAAATCACGAGTGTCCGTGTGCAGCCTGACAAAATGAATGTTATGGGATAAGCTGAGAATGGAGACCAGTGTTTGGTTCCAGTGATAAAACTCAGATTGAGTTACTTCAAGGTAGGAAACAGGCTTAGGTCCCAAACTTTGCCTGGTCCAGTTGTTGGAAGGTTCAAGGTTTGTTGCCTTCCATACAGAAAGAATGGGAGTAAGTTGAACTGACTATATTGTAAATGATTCATGATGAACAAAAACTTGATTCATATGACAACTGGTTGAAAAACACATATGGGTTCTCTTAATTCAAACAAAATCTCGATGACACTAAGTGATTGACATTGACATTAATTTCGCCATGACATATGTACATTTATCACTCAACCATTCCATCAACAAATCATTC